TAGAATATGATAGAATAAATAATTTTAAATTGTTATCGGCGGAACCGGACAATCGCATGTATTTATGGATTATAAATAATTATTAAACATATGTATTATAATATTCAAATCATAATTTTACAAAATTTCAACAGCTATTCACAATTTATTAAACTATTTACTCGAAATTGGTATTAACATCTATAAAATAATAATTTTGTACGCCAATGTATCGCGTCCACTTCGGTGATATCCGCTGCCAACCTGTCAATTTATGTGTATAAAGTGGGAGAACTGGCAAAAGCATTTCCAACTTTTACTTCTGTTCTAAAAAGATACACCAGTACGTTATTACGACTTTTATTAAGGCTGTATGTCACGATACTAAATTAAGTACTAAATTTAGAACTAAATTAATGCATTTTTTAAGAACTAAAAAAATTCACGTTGCAAACAGCAAATTTAGTACTAAATTTAGTACTAAAAAAAGTCATTAATGAATTAGATCTTGTTCTATTTTCTACTAAATTTAGTACTAAAAGTGCGCCGAAATGTTGCGCAGAAGTTTTTCATAGAAAAAGTTGACACGACGGTATTTTCTGTACCCTTTTATTTTTAATTAGCGACAATCATTATCGCCTTGAATAAAGTTCGCTTGTTTGATTTTGTAGGTTTTATTGTGTTTTTTCGTGGTTTTTATGCTGTATTTGGTTGTTGTCAAGTCAACTAGTATCAAATTGATAATAAAAACACCATTTACTTCACTTGTCTGTTTTACACAGAATATTTCATTTATCTGCTAATTTCACGTATTAATACGTCAATGCGCGTGCGCCTATAGTAAATTTAGTACTAAAAATTGGTATCGTTGCAAACGGAAAAAAAATATTTTTAGTTCTAAATTTGGTACTAAATTAATAACTTAATTTAGTGCTAAATTTAGTACTTAATTTAGTATCGTGACATACAGCCTTTAAGAAAAAAGGAAAAATCTATTACTTTTTAAAACATCGAAATTTTATGAGTGGTTCTATCTAAACTTCAGAGCGCATGATTAAAAAATTTTAGAATTCTATACATTAGTTATGTCCATTAGTAATCTATGGTTATGTTCGTTTTCTTGTTTGAACAAATCCAAGATAGGACCAGGTTTTAGTTTAATAGGAGATTACCACCAGCCTCCAGCATTTCAGCATAATTTATATCTTGTTTTTAATAACGTAGACTCCTTCAAGACTTTAAATGCTGCGTTTGAGAATCCACATCGGATGCATTTTTTACATCTCGAGCGTTTTTTTATCCACATCGGACACATCTACTGAACCACGTGATCAAAGATTTTTTACATCTCAGATGCATCCGATGTGGATTCTCAAACGCAGCATATGAGACTCATGCTGCGTTTGAGAATCCACATCGGATGCATCAGGAGATGTAAAAAATCTTTGATCACGTGATTCAGTATACGTAAATGTAATGGGACAGATGTGTCCGATGTGGATAAAAAAACGCTCGAGATGTAAAAAATGCATCCGATGTGGATTCTCAAACGCAGCAATAAATTACAAAAATTTACCTCTAGTGAATTTTTGGCGAACATCTTTGAAATAAAAAATTTACTGGAGGAACCAATGTTTCCTAATTTAAAAAAATTAATTTTCGGTTTATTATCTTTTAAACCAGCACTAGCTGCCACAGTAGTCATGACTAGAGGTATATGTACAAATTGGAAACAACCACTTGCCTATTATCTAGTTAATTCTACGTGTCCTGGATTGCAATTAAAGCAACTAATTTTAAACGTCATACAAGAAGTTACTAATATAGGGCTCCAAGTAGTAGGCGTTGTATGTGACATGGGCTCAAATAATTTGCAGTTGGCAAAATTACTGGATGCTTCACCAGAACATCCGTATTTCATGTTTGGGAATGACAAAATTGTATTTCTCTTTGATATCCCTCATTTGTTAAAAGCACTTAGAAATAACCTGATAAAACACAGATTAATGATTCAGTAGCCTCTTGGGAATATGTGAAACAATTTTATTCGCATGATAAGTCATACAATATTCGAGGGGTTCCAAAATTGACTGACTCACACATTTTCCCCAACAATTTTGAGAAAATGAAGGTCAAATTAGCAGCTCAAGTTTTTAGTGCTTCTGTAGCTCACAGTATGTATTTATACATTAGGTCCGACGCACTTTCATCAGCAGCTACTACTACAGCGGACTTGATTTTAAGAATGAACAATTTGTTCGAAATTTTAAATACATCTGGTGGTCCAGCAGCTACACAATATCAGGAAGTGTATGTAGGCAACAGAGAACAAAACAGACTTTTGGAAGGAGTGCTTAACTTTTTTCAATAATATGGAAGTATTTAACGCAGATGGAGTAAATGTTACAAAAACAATTAAGTGCATATTGGATTGGAAAATAACTATTAACGGTATTTTGCATTTATGGGAAAATTTACAGCATTCTGACATAAAATTTTTATTAACTCAAAGAACACATTGTCTTGAAATTTTTTTGGGTTCTGTTCACCAACAGTGTGGAAATAATGTAAATCCAACCCCAACACAGTTTATACGGGCGTTCAGAAAATTACTTTCTTTAGATCTCTTACATATAGGTACAGAAAACTGCGAGGACGATACTAGTCGTGTTTTACTGAAGATGACAGATATGCCACAGAATGTGGAAGACCGGTGTGAACCTGCAGTACCTATTAAAACTGTAATCGTAGATACTGATTATAGAAAATCAGATATTTTAGAAAAAAAAATTGTCAAATATGTTTGCGGTTATTCAATAAAAAAATGTTTGGTGCGGCATACTTGTGACACGTGCGTGCAATATGCAAATGCAAATAGTACCAAAGTGGATGAAACATCATTTTCTTTTTATAAAGCATACAGGCACTCAGATTTGGATCAGTACGGTAGTCTTTATATGCCACATACAAATTTTATAAATTTTATAACAGCATTAAAAATACTGTTCCAAAAGAATTTTGAGAAATTGACTGTTATAATTTAGTTTCCACAATTCTGTGGTCGGTATTACACATTTTTAGAGAATAGCGCTTGAAAATTTCGGGACATATGAATTAGGATTTTTAGAATCCAAATCCACGATCTTTTTAGGACATTTGGTGCTGTAAAAATTAAAAAATATGTAAAAATATTTTGTTTTAACTGTTTTATGTTACAAAATTTGACTGTTAATATTTAATTATGACGTTTTGTCTTTCGCGGTTATCCTTGTATTATTATAAATGTTTTTTTGTACCTTATTTTTATTACTTCACAACGTATATAGACCTAGATCCTTTTAACTGCCTAAAATATACTCTTCTAAACGTATCTTGACTAAAAACTCCATTTACGTAAAAAACGACTTATGACCTTTTAAGCGCCGTCCACAGAATTGTTAATATTTTTAAAACCGTCACATTTATTTACCCCTGTACACATTTTCCGCATACGTACTTGCTGAACTTATATGCAAAAGTCAGAACTTATTATACGCCAAAATATGCCAATAGGAATTTTAAAGTCAGAAAAATCAGTAATTATTTTCTTATTAGTAATGTAAGCTAATGTGCAAGTCGTTTTTAATAAATATTTTGTAATATACATTTATAATTTTTATCGTTTCTGTAATCCGATTCTTGTTAAAACACCTTAATACGGGCCTGATACGCGAATCGTTGCTAGTATGGTGGCTCGCTATCCCACTCTCTACAGCGCGCGAATACCGACCTACCTACTGCTGACTTTCAAAGTACAAAGGTGCCGCCGATGAGATGACCAGCAGGGGGTCGATTCTCGACTTTTATTCCCATGGGAAAATAAAATTTTCCCATGGGAATTCAGTTTTCGTATTCTCGGCATAAGCGGTGGAATATTTTCCAATGAGAAGTATGGGAAAATATTCCCCTGCTTGCGAGCGTTGGAAATTGTGTTTTCCAATGGGAATTGTACTAGAGTTTGCGCATTAAAGTCGAAAATTTGACGAAAGACCACGCGAAAGACTAAGACATAACCAAAGATTATTGGATATCTTGGATTTTTGGTGAAATTGTAGTTAAAACATGTTTTTTGTGTATTTATAAATTGATATTATTTTATTTATGTGGGTATATTATTTTTACCCCTCTTTCACTAAGAAACTGATTTTCTTAAATTAGTTAGAAATTGTGGGAGCTGCTAAGGGACTGGCAAATAGGTAACACAAATTGAGAAATTTGTAGTAAATTTAATAAGACCTTTTCGAAAATTTTATTATTTCCGTTAACGAAAGAATTTCTTATATATATAGTTTCTCGAAACTTTCGTTGCTCTTCTATACAAAAGCTACTTTTTCTTTTTTCAATATGTGAAAAGAAAAACTAAAAATAACTCGATAAGTTTTAATTATACATAATCGAATATTTTCACTTGTCCTCGGTCAAGCTAGCGATTGCTCGGCACGGCATCTGCTCCAGCGCAGAGGCTCGGCAGGTAATCGGTTACCCAAAAACCACAACAAATACAAATAATACCAACAGTAAATTTTAAAATATCTTTAATGTTATTGGTTATTTCGAAATATTCGTGAACTTAATATCAGACATACGTGAAACTATTATTTCCATGGGAATGTCTATTCCGACAAGTTCGAGAATTGCATAACCTATTACCATGGGAATATAAGTAGTGGAATCTTTTCCCATGGGAAAATTTTCCAATGAACTCGAGAATCGAGCCCCTGGTAATGAATAAGCTGTGATCCCACTCTCTACAGCGCGCGAATACCGACTGCTGACTTTCAAAGTACAAAGGTGCCGCCGATGAGATGACCAGCTGGTAATGAATAAGCTGTGGTTAAATGTATTTAATAACAGTTCTGGTACATTTACGTTACATTAAAATATTATCTATTACGATTTTATTACCTTTTGGTTCAAAATTCTATTACGAAAAAATTAATTGATGTGGCGACACTGGTTTGACTTTGACATATGTTTGACAGATAAGCAGTTCAAATTTTAACGGTTTGTTTATTTAAAAACATTTTATATCAAATTTTTGCTTTATTTTCTCTATTGTATCTAATAATAATCTGTTAACGATGGATGGTTTTAAAACCCCTTTAAAATGTAACAAAAAAATGAGTTCTGTTGTATATATACCACCGTCGCCTCAAATGAAAAAGATAGGATGTGGAACAGGTTTACAAAAATTAATTCGTTTTCGAATTGTACACTAATTATTTTAATATTTACAGGTGTTGGTGTATACGAACTACAAAGATCCCCGCTACCAGATAAATTTCGCTCGCCATGGGCAGTGAAAAAATTAATCAAAAGCTTTAAAAATCGGGATTATGCAAAATTCGTCAATGACAGAGTACAAAGTGAAGCTGAGATTTTACGAAAATTGGACCACCCAAATATCGTTGGTTTTCGTGCGTTTACCATAGATAAAGATGGAACAAATATCTTAGCAATGGAAGAATGTTCAAGTTCTCTTGGAGATTTAATAGAATGCAGGTTGGATTATTTGGGAGAAGTTCCATACCCTCCTGAAACTATTCTAAACGTTTCACATGATATTGCTAAAGCCTTAGACTATCTGCACAATAAAATGTTTCTATTACATTGCGATATTAAATCATTTAATATTCTTGTGAAAGGGGAGTTTGAAATTTGCAAGCTATGTGATTTTGGAGTTTGTTTGCCATTGACTGAATCTGGGGAACTCGATTTTACTAAGACTGATGGAGAAGCTGAATATACAGGTAAAAAATACATTTATTAACTATCCTGGTGTCCAGGTATAGATGAATAAGCTTAAAACAATCACTTTTTGATATCGGCTCAAAATATTCCTGATTTGGGTTGGGGTTCAATTCTTGGGACAAGGTCAGTTCGGGTCGAGATATCGAGTCATCAGAGATGCTGTTAAACATATTTTCGAGGGCAAGGTTTTTTGAAATAAATATCATTTCATATTAGATTATTTTGATGTATTTTTTTGGCGAACACATTTTCTTTGCCCTCAAAATTAAAATATAAAAATAAACAACAAAAGAAAAATGGATATATGACAATGTGGCAGGTGTAAAATTTAAATTCTAAACATCCCTGCAGAGTGGAGTGGATAGGTGCATTACTAGCACACTAAACTACAAGACTATCGAAACTTGATATGCCTATGGATGTATTTTCCCATAAATATGAAAATTACATATACTACGTTTTTAACCAATATTCAGTTTTAATGTTTATTATTTAATAGTTTTCTGGAAAAAGTTATAGCTTTTGTAAATACATTTGACTCATTCGTGTTTCCTGACATCTTGAAAAACGGAACGTGATGACGAAAATCCAAGAATGGGCCATGTTCACATGTGAGATATGCTGTGTTATAAATTATATTGTAACAGTCGCTATACAAGTTATTCTACATAATCAGTTTGTTAAAAAAGCCAAAAGTTTTTAAATTTAAACCAATTTGAAATGTGTACGTCATCGGGAATAGACCAATCAGCTTGTCTTGAAGTTTTTTTTTGTTATACAGAACCAAGCCAACGAACAAACCGACACACAGAATGTGACATTAAAATTGACACCACTTAGACCACCTAACCTTAGTTTTTTGTTTTGGTTTAATTTTATTATTAATATGAGTTTGTCAGCTGGATTTATAAAAGTTGAAGTGTTTTACCCATTGTAAACCAAAATATGATTACCGAGATGATTACTGCATTTTTTAAAATACTCAGTTTACAAAAGACAGAAAGGTATGTAAGACTTTATTTATAATTTGTTTTAATAGTAGTTACAGATAATATAGAACAATACACCTTATAGTAAAACATATTTATCTCAGGTCATTAGGATTGTCGAACAGTAACAGTTTTTCAAAAATAAACATTTTACCTTTACCCTTTACTTCACTTATATTTATAAGAAAAATATATTTTTATTTGTAAATAAAGTGTTTTTTACTTTGTTTATCAGGTACATATTTTTATTTTTTAATAATAGGTTAATAAATTAATCAAAAAAAAAAACAGTTTATTAAATTATTTGGTATTTAGTCTTACAAAATGAGTTCTTTTAAGTTAAAAATACCACTAAAAAATGTAAAAAGTTTATGTAAGCTGCACTTTCCTTCTCATAAATATTGAAGATTTTAAAAACACTGTTGGGCAATCCTAAATATACCTTCAGTTTATTTTCAATTTTGAGAGTTCATTGGTTTTGAAGATCCTGCTCATTATTAAGTCCCTCTGAATCAGATATTAAAGATGTTTCTTCCGATTCAGACAAAACTTCACTATCTTTAAAACTTTCAGGAGGTTTCGAGGCAGGTTCTTGCAGAAGGGGTTTTAGGATATATACCTTCGAACTTATAGTAGGATCATTTTAAATTAACTGAAGGGGGCAATTTTAGAAATTGCTGCTGCATCTTGAAGATCCGGTGTATGTTTATTAAATAGAGATGAAAAATGCCTCTAGTAGAAGGTTATATTCCAGTCAACATTTTTTTTGTTTTCTGTTTTTTTTTATTGTAGAATCAGTGAGCTGGATCTTGTGTGGTGAATAACAAGAACTGTGGAGACATTTGTGTGGTACTACCCACTTCTTATATGTAAAGGTTTATCCATCATTTAAAAAATTCACAGTTTTCAAAATCATTTGGTATCTAAAAAGAAGAAAAAAACATCGTGACTACAATGGTAGATAATTGAATAATTAAATTACAATAAAACATTTTTATTTTAATAAAGAGTATAGATACAAACCTCAACAAAATAATTTAGCTCTGTTGCTTGAAGCGTTTCTGTGTAATGATAATAATTTTCTCTTTTCATATTTCTAGCAACACTAATAAATATTTTTAATAATGAATGTAAATCATTATCACATCTTGGGCAGAAACATTTTTTTCATACTCATAATATTTATAAAAACATCAAAATTACATAATTATCAATTAACAACACACAAATTCTTAATTCATAGATAACACATGCAGTGCTGCCACATTTCCATTTTCTTATTTATTAGTTGTCGTTTTTTAAAACAATGAGACTATAAATATGGTGAAAGTTTAAACATAAATTATACTTTTAAAAACATTTAATATTTTATATTTGAAAGATATTTGTTTAACGATATTTTACAAGTCTAAAAGTAAGACGGTGCACACAAACGAACGTATATTACTTTTCGTATACCGTCTAACTGGCAACGTTGTGTGGCTAGTTCCTATTGGTCTATTCCCGGTGACGTCATAAATTTTAAAAAATTAATAACTCGGGCAAAAGAATAGATAAAAAAAATTAAATGTAGCTTTATTTTGAACTCTATTTATTATTCATAAAAAAAATTTCAAAATTTTTGAACATGCCCCATTCACTTGCCTCATGTACCAAATAAAAGAATTCAATTGCAAATTTTGAAACAAGTGTTTGCTTCTAAACACCACACTGAGAAGTTTTTGAAAAAAGTTAAGGGTTGCGACCCGAGTCTCATACCACCCTGTTGAAAATCTTTACATCAAAACATTTTAAGAATGACATATGTTTCGTCAATGTGGCACATTTCAACCATAATTAAATTAACACTTTACAATCCTACAGAAAATGGGTAATGTGTTATGGATAATTGGACTTAGTTATGAAGACATGATCCAATCTTCAAATCTACCAGAAATTACTTGAGTAGCTTTTCGATATGTTACAGTAAAAACAATATATTCTGCTGAAACGATCTAACAATTTAGAATAATATTAATAGTGAAATGCAGAAGGACTTCAGTCGACAGCCTATTGGACTGAATTTTCAGTTCAATAAATGACATTATTATTATTATTTATTAATAGTGAAAATCATAAATACTCGCTATAGATTCTATTTTCATCGCATAGAGAATTTAACTTTAACATCATTTTTCTCAAAATATAGTTTGGGTGGATTGGATCGTTTCTGCGTAACTACGTCCAATTGAGACCGCGTTTGTTTAAAGGGGAACCCATAGCTATAGAAACATCAAACACAGGAAACAAAAATGATGATGACATCTACACGGAAAATGAGGACGAAGATGACGAAGAAAATTACTCAGATGAGTATTAAAGGAAATAATTTTTTTTTATAGACATTACTTCTTACTCTTATTTTTTTTTTCAGCAGTGAACGGGATTAGAACCCACGATCGGTGAGTCGATGTGAGCGAAGACCCGCGCCTTAGACCGCTCGGCCAACGAACGAACTTGAGGTAGTGGGATATACTAACAGTAATAAGACACTTTCTTTTAGTCCAAAGGAGAGTTACAAACATACACACATGTGAAGCTAATAAAAGCGTGTTAAAAACTGACGAATGCCAGGCCTGATTCAATGACGAGCTTGCCTACTAAATGTATAAATATGAGAGTTCTGCTATCTGAAACAATTGAAAAAAAGTCCTTTTTGATTTACCTAATGTTGAAAGTTATTTTTTCTACACCCACATGGATATTAGCTTATCTACGCACAGGCTACAAAACGAAAAAGTATGTCATTGCGTTCAACTGAACGAATATATTTCATATCCATTCTAGGTAATGAGAACACTGCAAAAAAATGAAATCCACCAATCACAGTTCATATTTTGGACACCCAACTACTAACATTTTTATAATTTTAAATAAGTGATAATTCTGTCAAACTAATTATCAGTATATTTTTTAATTATTAAGATTAAATATACATTAAAATGAGTTATTTTTGTGTAGAATCGATAAATAATCGTAAATAATAGCATTTTTATTTGAACCATATTTAAAAAAAAATTTAATGAAACTATATGAACTATTTTAATTACGAGTATTAAAACCAAAAGTGGACGTAGAACAACCATGGACAGAGTGATTGGCTTCCACGCGAAATACCGGGATCGATTCTCGGGTGGCGACAATTTTTTTTATATTTATTTTATTTTAAAAATCAGTAATATTAATAAATTATTTTAAAATTAGTTATTTTGTCTTAATAACCTAAAATATTTTTTTAATTTGTCGATTTCCGTTAGTGGGTCGTAGAAAAACTATACTGTACAGCTCGAGTGGATTGTCCATATCGCACTCAGACTCTTGAGCACTCCGCCTACGGCGTCGTGCCCAAATTTCGTCTTCACAAACTACTGTTGTAAAAGTTTAATTGAATAATACATTATTAGTTTTTAAAAAATAGTTAAGCAAGTACATTTTTAATCAATTCTTAGATTCAGTCTTCTTTTATGGATGTCTCATTTTACTATCTTCTGCCCTGTGACACAAAAATTTGCATTGAACTTTTGTAGTTCAGGTGATATTTCGAGATATGATATATAAACTTATAAATTAAAATTGTATCAGTCACATTTTAAAATGGGTTTGTTGTTGATCTTATTCATTTAAAATGCTATTATTATCAATGCCTGAAAATATATAATTCAAGTAAAAACATTTTGTGGTTCACTTCTACAGGGTATTAGTATAATCGACCGACAATGCTCTACCACAGAGATATCTCGTTAATTGATGAATTTTGATATAGGAACAGGAACTCTTAAAGAGCTTAGTTACCGAGATATAGGGTGTTGATTCAAAAATATTTTTTTCAAATTTGATCTAAAAAATAAATTTGTTTTATTTTTTTACTTTTAGGAACACCTTGTTGGTGTCCTCCAGAAGTCCTAAAATCTAACCAAGAGATTACCACAAAAGCAGACATCTACTCCTTTGGTTTAGTAATGTGGGAAATGTTAGCTCTATCACCTCCAATAGATGATGAACTCGTTGAAGAAAATGTGACAGATGTAAATATTGAGAGAAAACGGCCTGATTTACCAGATATTGATCTAGGGCCAGAGTACAATTTAGTTTTAGAAATGTATTTTTGTTGTACTGCTTTTGAAAAGCATAAAAGACCTGCAGCTCATGATTTAGTAGGAGTTCTGCATGATAGTTTACAAAAGTATAAATAAGTTATGTTGTTTCTTGTATAATGTTCATTCTTAGGAATATTTTTTGTTTAAATTTGTTAAATAGATTTTGATACAGTTCACGATTATACTCGTTTTTTATAGACTAATTTGAATTATTTAATTTATTAAGAGTAAAATTTACGTTACAAACTGAAAGACCTGCAGAGCAACGGTAGTTTAGTAGGTATAAAAATTACAACTTAAGGGTGGGGCTTAAATACTACAAAATTACTAATGATGTGTTTCAGGGTTTTTGGATTTTCACATTTTAAGCAGGGCGGGGGACCAGGGATGAAAGTTTATTTGAAAGTATCGATTTTTTTAAAGGTAGGAACTTGAAAATTGGAATTGTAGGTTCTTATCATAAATAAATAATGAAGTGAATTTCACATTTTAAGGGAGAAAACGGGGGGTGAAAATTTGTTTGAAAGTATCTATATATTTAAAGTTTGAAACATAAAAGTTTGAATTATAGCTACTGATTAAAAATCAAAACTGATGTGTTTCATGGTTTTTGGATTTTCACATTTTAAGGGGGGGGGGGGGGGAAACGGGGGTGAAAATTTGTATAGAAGTATAAATTTTTTAAACGTTGGAACTTGAAAATTATAATTGTAGCATAACTAAATAATGAAGTGCTCTGTGGTTTTTAGATTTTTGTATGGTAGTATAAAAATATACTAAAATTAAAAAAAAATATTAAAAATTAATAAATATAATAAAATTAATAAACATTAATAAAAATTGACCATAATACTTTTTTTTGAATGAAAGCATTAGTTTCTGTTAAGCTCCATAAATTAATTCATATTTTAATCTGAACGGTACTTAAGCGCAGTAAAGTTGCAACAGCTAAACAATATAATGAACTTTTAAAATGAAAAAATTCAATTTATATTTAGAATTAAATAAGTTTTGATCATATGAAGTTATTAAAGTTATAAATAATCTGTAACGTGTAGAGGGTGGGTTACCCCCACGGCACTTAGGCCTCATTAGGCCCATTGTGCATCTTCCTGAGATGATAGGCACCTCCTAGCTCGTGAGCCAGCATACAGATTTTATGTAGTTGACAACGTCGCCAAGAGGTGCTTCTCTTATATCTGCCGGTGTTAGCCGATACTCGCCGAACACAAATCTTCTAATAAATGAGAGCGTCGGGCAATCGTAAAGTATATGCTCGATGGTCTCATCTTCTTGTTCGCACCCTCTGCAGAGTGCGGATTCTGACAGCCCCATGATATGGAGATGCTTTCGTACTTGGCAATGACCAGTCAGAATGCCTGTGACTAGACGCAGATTCTGTCTAGTCATAGTCAAGTATTTGTTTGCTGCAGTGTTATCAGGATAACTTAAGAGCTCCCTGGCAACTCTGCAGTTTCTTGTTTCATCCCATCTTTCCTTGAATTTCACAAGGGAATGTTCTTTGATGAGGTCTGTCACTACCGATTTTGTCAGGCCAATAGAAGGTCCAGGTCCAAAAAGTATTTGGTAGGCTGCTTTCTGGGCTAGTGAATCAGCAAGACGGTTAACTTTCGATGTGGCGTGACCTTTGATCCATCTTAAGGTGACCACATTGTTGATGGATACTTCGGCCAAAGCTTCGTGACATTCTAGTACTAACCCTGAGTAAATTCGTGGTCTGTTCAGGGTGAGTAGTGCCTGTCTGCTATCTGTACAGATGAGCATATTCCTTCCAGTGATATTGTTTCTGGTTATTTCTTTTGCTGCTATGAGAATACCTGTTAGCTCTGTTTGAACTACACTGGCACTATTGCTCACAGCCCATTTTATGTTTAGGTTTAAGAATCTGGAGTATATTCCACATCCTGAGCCTTGTTTTGTTTTAGAGCCGTCGGTGTAGATATGAATCGTACCTGCCACGTCCGGCTCTTCTATTTGTTCTATTATAACTTTATATGGCTTATGGAAGATATAACTCGGTGAGATAAGGTTCATGTTCGCTTGAAGCAGTTGGAGCGTATCGAGCGCATTTTGTCAAAAACGAGCGCGATGCGCGACATTCCTACTCTGAATAAGACTTTAGTTGACAAATGTTATGTATATGGAATCTGCATTTGTGAGAACATGACGTCGCCCTAATAAGAAAAGTCCATGTTAGCTTGAAGCAGTGGTAGCGTGTCGAGCGCCTCCTGCCAAAAGCGACGTCTCGCCTCACCAGATCCTACATCAGGTTCTATTCCAACCGTGCGGAGGCGTGTCATTGTCGACAGAGCAACCTCCTTGATGTAAATATCAAGGGGGGTGAGACTGAGAATGACTTCCATGGCCCTGGTCGGTGTTATTTTCATGGCCCCTGTTATGTTGAGACATGCTGTTCTTTGAATTTGTTCTAGTTTACAGATAGCTGTTAATTTTTGGGTTTTCGGTACCCAGACAACTGCTCCGTATGTTAGCATAGGTCTTATGATGGCCGTGTAAGTCCATGCGACGACTCTGGGAGAGAAACCCCAGGTGCGCCCCACGGTTCGGCGGCATTGTTCATAAGCAATGTATGCTCTTTTAACTCTATTTTCTAAATGCGAGTTCCATGTTAACTTGCTGTCAAAGGTAAGACCTAGGTACTTCACCTCTGTTGCAAAGTTTAGTTTTGTGTTTAGGAGTTCTGGAGGTTTTAATTCCATTTTCATCCTTTTCCTTGTGAAAAGGACCATTTCTGTCTTCTTAGGATTGATAGACAGTGAATGGTCCTTGCACCACTGTTTAAATAATTACGTTACACAAAGATTCATATGTGAATTTTCAATTTCTATTGATACTATCAATACACGAAACCCTGCGTAGTAAAACTAATTCGAATCAGAATCTTGATATTATTATTTTTGAACTTAAAAACGTGGTTCACTAGTCAAAATATTTGGTATAATTATACAGGGTGTTTATTAATTGAGTGCCGATACTTAAGGGTGTGAATCCTTAGGTGATTTTAAGAAGAAAAGTTAATATCAACATGTCGTAACTCACTTAATTTTTGAGCTACAGGGTGTTACAGGTTTAATAAAAAAATTACTGTTTTATCATAATTTTTTTATCACTCCAGATATTTCTATGAAATTTTGTACACACGTTTTAATAATTAAGGAGCATTTTTTGACGTATAAGATTTTTTTAAATTTTTACCAGTGACGTCCGTACGGGGTTTGAACTGAATATTTTTGAAGAAAAAAATGGTGCGCCACTGCTTTTTCTGAAAACCAAAATTATTTTTGAAATCACCATTTATTTTGGAGCAAACTTGGTTCATAGACTTACTTTCGTACGAAGCACCGTTTTCGCGTAAAAAAATAAAAACCATTGTAGTGGTTGGTCAAATTTTTTCCTTAAATTCATTGATACCTACTGCTTTTGATATTTTGTTGAAATCTGGTAGGCACCCACCATGCGTGGAAACATTTTTTTGGGATAAAAATTAATTTTCTACGTTTTGAATAGAAAAAAATTGTAAGCGCATTATTGCCCTCTTAAAGAAAATAAAATAAACATTAGTAGGCTGGGTAAAGCGTCATCATTTTTGACGTTTCTTTTCATAAAGACAATAAAGTTGACATTGATTTTACATTATTAAATAATTATTATTAGAGTAAGAGTTAAAATCTGAAAAAAATGGTAAATTTTACGAACAGTGAATTAGCTGACATGCATTTTAGTTATGGGCTTGCAGACGGAAATGCATACGAAGCCAGACGGATATACCAAGAGCGGGATCCAAATCGCGTACTACCCGATCCGAGAACATTTTCTAAGATTCATAGACGTCTTCACGAGACCGGAACTTTAAAAGTAGATCACAGGGCTAAAGGAGTCCATCAAACAGTAAGAACACCGGAACTTGAAGAAGGAATTTTACATGAAATTGAGGAGAACCCCGAAACTAGCACGAGGAGAATCGCGTCAACATTTAATGTTTCACATATACTTGTTTGGAAAATTCTCATCGAAAATTTGTTATGCCCATATCACATTCAAAGAGTCCAGGCATTACTCCCTAGAGATGTCCCGTTGCGCATTAATTTCTGTGAGTGGTTTCTTTAAAACCTGCTGGAAAATCCATTATTTGACAGGCACATTCTTTTTACCGATGAATCTAATTTTTCTCGAAACTCAATAATAAATTTCCATAATAACCATTTATGGGCGGATGAAAACCCTTATGCAATTGTTGAGTCAAATCATCAAGAACAGTTCTCATTAAATGTTTGGGCTGGCATTATTGATGATTATTTGATAGGCCCATTTTTTCTCCCAAGAAGACTTGATGGACAATCATATTTACACTTCCTTGAAGATGATCTGCCGCCAATGCTTTGAAGACCTTCCTCTTTTATTAAGAAACCAGATGTGACTAATGCACGATGGTGCGCCTCCACATTTTAGCTTACGAGTGCGTGAATTTTTAAATCACACCTGTCGCAATCGGTGGATAGGTCGCGGAGGAACGCAGTCATGGCCGCCTAGATCTCCCGACCTTAATAGTTTAGACTTCTTTTTCTGGGGGCATCTGAAAAGCTTAGTGTACGCAGTGCCGATTCAAACCGAAGAAGAGTTACGAAATCGTATAACAGTCTGCTGCCAAACCATAAGAAACACCCCAGGAATCTTTGAAAATGTGCGTCAGTCTATGCGAAGAATAGTAGATGCTTGCATACGTGTGGGTGGAGGACACTTCCAACAATTACTGTAATTTGGGTTCTTTATTTTGTTTGTATTCTCTTGTAATTTCGTTTTAGATTCAAGATTTTGAATTTTCATTTTACTATAAATAAATCCCGATTTTTAAAATACATAGAATTTAAAAAAATTAGAGGTGTACGTTTGTTTTCTATCCAAACATTCAATATGATGCCTACGTGGCCGTCACTGGTGGAAGTAGAAAATTAATTTTTGCCCCAAAATAAGTGTTTTCACGCATGGTGGGTGCCTACCAAATTTCAACAAAAAACCAAAAGCAGCTTAATAAAAAAAAAATTTGGTTTTTATTTTTTTACGCATCGTACGAAAGTAAGTCTATGGGCCAAATTTGCTCAAAAATAATTTTGGATTTTAGAAAAAGCAGTGGCGTACCATTTTTTTCTTCAAAAATATTCAGTTCAAACCCCGTACGGAAGTCACTGGTAAAAATTTAAAAAAATATACGTCAAAAAATGCTCCTTAATGATTAAAAGGTGTTTACAAAATTTCATAGAAATATCTGCAGTGATAAGAAAATTATGAATATATTTTTTTCTTAAAACTGTAACACCCTGTAGCTCAAAAATTAAGAGATTTACGACATATGTTGATATTAACTTTTTTTCTTAAAATCACCCAAGGATTCACACCCTTAAGTATCGGCATTCAATTAATAAACACCCTGTATATCATCAATTGCCACTGCCACTAGTCAAATCTAAAATTTAAAAAAGCGCATTATAATCATGTTTTAAATGGATCGCTTACTACCAGGTTTTAGAAATAAATAAATTACAAATAATTTAAGACTCCTTGCTCTGGATTTATTGTCCATGCCATATTGGGTGGCTTTAGCGGCTCGTTTGATAATGTTCTCATGTTGCAGAAAATCCTTTTCGACGAATAAAACACTATACTTTTTCTATAACCATGGCTTACTATATAGGATATACAAGAAGTTTGAATAAGTTGAATTATTTTTAAAGTGATCTCGACGAAATCTGCGATTTAGGGGTAAACTCCGTTTTACCATGTTTGTTCTGGCATCTACCTTATAATTGAACGTTTCCTTTATAAAATCCTAAAAATTAATTCTAAGACTGCAACAATAATTTTATAATATCTGAAATGGCAACCACTTACTTTCGTCACTAGAGACGAAAGTTAACGTTATGGGATATTCTATCACCGGTGTCGGAACTGGCGTTGTCAGTTGGCGTCCTTTTAGTTTTTCTACGGTTGGAGTAAAACGTGACGAAAGTTGTTGATTTTTAAATGGTTATAGAAAACGTATTTTATTATCCAAAATATTTTCTATAAAAAAATATTTTATGAAATTTTGTTGATTCCCTTTTAAAGTAGGTATACTTACTTAATTTAGACAAAACAAATTATCATTTTAAAGGCCGGCAGTGTACTTGCTCACCGTTAGGTTCCTTTGATGTTGCTGTAAAAGTGAAACAGCAGACACTAAAAATAACTTAACTATATTATTTTATTTTCCCGGCTATTTATAACGTATTATTAAAATATCAAACGAACTTACCTGAAGTGATGTTCGATCTTAATTATATGAAATGCCTTGTTCGAGATGATCATAGGTAGTACCCCCTTTCCCCGCTCAGCTACCACGTATTTTAAAGAGTTAACACTCTAAAAAACGCCTTTTATGACTACCAACTCTGCACTCTCTACTCCTGCTACGCCGCTCCTAACTCTAGCCTGTAATGTCATTCTTTTTAAAGCGGTATTGTGATTTAAACTTGGAGATGATCCTTGGATGTACATAATGCTTATGAAATAAACTTACCGCACATTTTATTTTAGGGTTGTGATGGGTTCGATCATCTCGAAAAAGGCGTTTCATACTCGTATAATTGAGATCGAACTTTTCAGGTAAGTTCGTTTGATCTTTCAATTATATTCCACGCCTTGTTCTCAATGATCATAGGTAGATGTTTAAAGAATAGTTAAAACTCAATTACACTGCAGTTTTTACTGATGAACTCCTTTTCACAACAATCAGATGAAACAAAATTATTAGAATAGAAAAAAGGTTTTTAACATTTAACATACTCTGTATTAATAAAAAAATATTACAATAGAAAATGGTTTTTAACATAACTATGTATTATTATGCTACAAATTTAAAATTGTAGGGGCGAATTTGCTTTTATCTCTAATCGGTCTGTTATAGAAAGTGTTAAACGTAGTTGTAGGGTGATAGAGTTTTTTGCATGTCAATGTTAATTTGGATTCTAATCCCCTAATGCCCTTAGTCTGTTCAAGGTAATATTCTAGCACCGCAGCTACGCATAAGGGTGGCTTTTCTTTAAAGTAAGGAATCTGCAGCAAAGGTTGCATTTTATTTCGGCCAGAAGTTTTTATGTGGTGAGGAATTTTTATTTCACAACCATAATGTTTTTTTATAAATATTGTCCAATTCAATGAAGGTTAATGGCTGAACTCTCTGTGCTGTGATTAAAATTAAAAGAGTAACAAGTTTGTGAGTTGTTCTAGAGATAAGATGTTAGGGTATTGCTTATAAAGGTAAGATAAGACGATACGGTTATGTTGTAGTTGACGGGTCTAGAAATGCGCGCATTCGCACCACTCTGCACTGACGTCTGGAATTTGAATTTGCACAAGCCACGTTGCCAAATCTCCACTTTCATTTCAGCTTGTTTTATTTTATAGTTTATTTTTCAACCAAATTGTAACCTCTGTACATTAAAATGTATGATAAATAAATATAAAGATTTATATTTTGAAATAACAATTCTGTTTTGTTTTATAAGACAGTTTTGATAGATTTTAGATTTAAATTTTGTAATTATCACTATTGAAAGGTATTATTCACATTAAAAAACGATCGTATTACTTGAAAATCTTCAGAACATTTTTTTATTTTTATGGGTTTTTTAATCGCTGTAAAAATTGGTAAATAGATGATTAAAAGTAAAATAGTTATTTCAATCTGCTTATTCCCTGGTTCCAAATAATTAAATATAACCTGGCAACTCCGTAACGATTCCGACTGGCAGAACTAGCCGGAACAGGAATGGTGCGCACTGGCCCATTTCCAGACACTTCAACTGCAACATAACCGACGATACTTGGATCCCAAGTAAAATCATGTTTTGGAGTAGGTTTTATATTTGATATTCCTTTAAAAAATCGTTTAATCTGATAATCCTCCCCTACTTTAGAGCATATAATTAAGGAAAGAGATGCTTTAATGAAATTGAGCGATCCATAAGAGCGATTATTTTGAAAAATTTCTGTTAAGAAAAGAAGAATATTCGGGACAGAGAATTCAAACATATTCACTGAGTTTCTTATAGAATAGTGGCGCCACTGTTTTAAGCCTGAAGAATAATGTCTCAGTTGCGGTTGTTATGGAAGCTAACAAGACTTAAATTACTGCATCTGGCAACCCTTTTTGGACTGAAAGCCTCCCAGACAATTGACCTGTCATCATCCACATGGAATGAGGGATTCTATTAACAGAACGTAATTAAAGGTTTTACTAGGTTTAAATATTACCCGTGGTTAAAAGATCAATTCTTGAATCAGAGGGAACCAAAGCTAGGCAGGAAGGCCACTGCGGCACCACCAAGAAATTGTGAAGGCATCAGTTGCCTCGGGTTTTGGCGTCCAAGATACACATTTCTGACATTTAGAATTTATTTTGGTGGAAAACATGTCAATGTCTGGGACACCAATTTTTTTTAGTTATTATTGCCATTGCCCTGGAAGACAATTCAAATTCCTCACTGTTAAATTTCCTTGATGCATCGTCAGCTGTCTTTTGAGGCTATAAGATGCAAAAATTCGTATTTTTCTTTCGTCGCACCACTGCCATCTCTCTTGCTATATTGAGATTCTTAAATTTTATACCTCCTATTCTATTGATGTATATGGCAGTGTTGTCGATTCGCATAAAAATTTCATAATTTATTAAAGACTGTGCAAAGGATTTCAACCCAAAAAACGCCGCTCTTAATTCCAATTCATTTATATAGAGGAGTTTCTCTTCAGAGCCCCAAATCCCTTGGTGTGTCTCACTTCCACAGACTGCCCCCCACCCTATTTGAGAAGCATCTGTAAATATCTCCATAATGTATTTGTTACTGGGGATTATATTAATGGCTTTACCAACCTGTTCTCTCCATCATTTTAAGTCTGATGTTGTGGAACTAGATATGTAGTGATATGGTGGCCTGATAATTACCACCAGCCTTTTTTAAGGCTATAATTTTTTCGCGCTCCAACTATTTTGTATACAGCTAGCCTAATAGTATAGCCGGACAGGCATCAACTAGTTTGCCCACTATTCTTGCAAATTTTCGTATGTTTTCTCAAAATATTACTAAATTTCTACATTTAAGTTAGTTCTTTTTTTCATCTGGGAGGTTTGAGAATTCAAAATGAACCCTAGGTGCCGACATTGTTTGGAGGGAATTAATACAAATCAGAGTATTTATACAAAATCCTAAAATTTCTAAAAATTTACATTTATACGAAATATATTCCATACAATTATCATAAGTATTACGAATTAATAAAAAATCATTTATCATCAAATATAAATTAAAAGTTTTAAAATTTTTGTGAAAACTAGTGGGCCACTACTAATACCAAACGGCATGGCTAACAACTCATAAAGCGAATTTTGAAATTGAAATCGAAGATATTGTCTTATCATTTTCATAAATTTTTATTATTAGATAGGCTTCTTTCAGGTCAATTGACCCCATGTAGCATTTGTTAGACATTAACTTTGTGGCTACTGATATGTTTTTCATTTTAAAATGATTAACTAATAGAAAGGTTTAATTTCTTAAGACTGAGAATTAAACGTTTACCATTTGGTTTAGACAACAAAATACTAGATAAAAATTGATTATTAGAAGAGTTACATTTTTTGATAGCTTTAATATTAAATGAGTTAATTGAGAAGCTATTAATTTCTTCTCAGAATCTGACCAGCTTTTGAATGTTAAAGACTGATTTTGCCTTGGTTTATTATTAACGGGTAATTTGTACCCAATTAATCATGAAAGGATTACTTTAACTTTACAAATTTTTTCCCACTGGGCTATGAACCTGGCCAACTGACCAGCTTCAAAACTTACTTGAGAAGTTAATATCTCCTCTTGGACCTGTCCCTTGGCTTTTGAGATTCTGTGTGATGATGTCCGGATTTCCCTACGTATTTCAGTGGAGTGTTCCTTGCATATCTGTATGGAGTGTAGCTGCCCACACTTTGGAGACGTTTGGACGGCTGTTTAAAGTTTAAATGCTTCTTAGGTTTCGACCTTTTTAGTTCGTTCTCGGATTTCTTCAAAGCCTTTGATGCCTTAACCCTGTCAGTCAAATTTTCTTCAAATAGAAAACCATCTGTAGCTTCAATTCCCGCCATATCTTTTACTTCCTTGTCTAAATTTAAACTGGTTAGGCTCTGTCTAACTAAAGTCTGATCCCTAGAGAGATCAGCTACTAACTTAACTGCATCATTAATAGGTATAATCAAGGATAATGGCGTATTTTCTTTATTTTCATCGATTAGAAAGGTAAGAGCTTTTACCTAGTGCTGATATTGCTGTTACCATCATTTTTAGGTTTGACTAATTTTTCATCTCGTTTCTTTGTTGTAGCATCTATAGCCACATTTATTTCTGGATTAACTTTTGAGGAGCAGAGGCTTACGAAATTTTGTTGATGTGGGTACTTTATCAGTAATTCCTCTCTGTTATCACTAAGTACCTTTTTTTATTATTTGTCCCCACCTGCTCACTAAATCTTTATGAATGTCTTCAGACACATCACTGACAGTTGCCTGCTTGGGCCCTAATACGTGAAGTATTTCCCCACTGAGAGAAGGAACTTCTACAAATTAAATACCCAAGGGATCAGTTGGTTCTGAGTTTTGTTCTGAAATAATACACACATTTTAATATTTATGTCACATAACACATATATTTATTATTCTGTAAGAAAAACATTGTTTTTAGAAACATTTTCCTATGAAAATTACACATTTACTGGATTCAAACCCTTATGAGCTCAGTAACGGGTCTGCATAACCCTTTGGTCATAGAATGCATCTGGTTTCTTGGTTTTTTCCTCTATAAATACATACTGTATTGAAGCTCATATGAACTGAGTGACGGGTCTATATAGACTTGAGTAGTCTTCGGAAGAACTTGAGGTTCTATTTTTTCTTAAATAACGAAGTAGCTTCGCACGAAAACAAAGAATAACATTTTAGGCTAGAGTTGGGAGCGGCGTAGCAGGAGTAGAGAGGGAAGAGTTGATACAGTAATAAAAGACGTTTTCTAGAGTGTTAACTCCTTAAAATACGTGGTAGCTGAGCGGGGAAAGAGGGGTCTACCTATGATCATTGAGAACAAGGCGTGGAATATAATTTGATTGAATAACAAAAGTGTGATTAGTTAAGGGTGTTGACGAGAAATTAGAAAGGACCAGCTTGTGTTTATGAGTTTTTATTTTTTAAATAAAATGTATGTATATTATCACAGATTAGTCTTAGACTCATTTTTTACATGACTAGCATCTATTTTTCTGTTGAGAAAATCCAAAGTTATTCCCATGAATTCAGCGGGTTTTTCACTGTGCAACCAATGACCCGCTCCTTCTATAAACTTCAGTTCCGCACTTGGAAACAGTTTCTGTATCTTTGGTAAATCGCTTTTCCTACAAAAAATTGTATAATCAAAGAGTTGTGAAACCAAGGGAAGCAGCTGCACTATGAGAGCAAATTTGTAGTATCAAAATATGAAATTTAAAAAAATAACTAGAAAAAAAGAAAGGAATTTCATGTCTGTGTTGAACTAACAATCAATAATACTATTAATAGCTAAGGGAAGCAGACATGCTGAGAGCAAGGCATTTCATGTCTGGGTTGAACTAATAGCTAATAATACTATTAATAGCTAATTTGTATATAAAGAAAATGGTCAAAATAATAGCAATAGTTTTCACAAATCATAAAAAAAGAAATATCCCATAACATTTTTGATTTGACTTACTGTATAAAATCTGACTTCGAACCTCCTAAAAATAGCGTTGGGCCTCCAAAAGAGATATTATGCGTCTCTGGAAACGACAATATTTTATCAAAATTTTCTAAAAGGGCTCTTGTATTAAATCTCCAACCATAACTATCAAAAATTAAGATAATTAGCTTACTCATACACATTTCTTTTATCTTTAAGCAAAAAACAAAGCTAAGCCCTAAAATTAACTGACTGATATAAATATAGTTTTGACAAAGGATCCATTAAATCTTTACCAAAGGCCCCAAAAATTAGTTACATTTCAAAAATACCTTGGAATAATGGTAATACAGGGCGGGGCAGAATATCGACCGATTTTTAAAAATCCGACAAACGCGTCGTATCGTTAGGAGGTGATAGGGACGCTATCGGCCATGTTTCCTGTGTATTAGCATTTAGAAATAATGGAGCGGTGGACCCCTTAGCAGCGCGCGTAATCTCTCAAGGAGTTTTATCAAAAGGGGGTATCTCCAAATCATGTGATTTCTCGAAATGGGGTTGTCACTTTGCTTGCCGTTCACCAGACCTCACAACTTTAAGAGTAAAGTGTTTCAAGATAACCCACCACAAACAATTGCCTTGAAAAAATTAATCTGACAGGAAATGGACCAAATTCCCCTGGCAATGCTGCTGAACGTATTGAATATTTTCAGATCACGATTGGAATTTTTAAAATCGCTCGTTATTCTGCCCCATTCTTTATAAATCAAGCAACCTCATATAGCAACAATAGGTTACTAAAAAAGCAAACATTATCTTCCCCACTCTTCACTGTTGGGTTTTAATTAACAGTGCTGTTCCTAAAGTGGCGCTGGGAAACAGTAACAAAGCCTACACAGAACACGAGGCTAATGGACTTAGCAGTCGATGCCGATGACACCAAAGTAAAAAAAAGTAATCTTACAAAAAAGCATTTTATTGACCACTGAGAAAACATATTAAATATCTATAAATGTATAAGAATGAAAGGGTAATTTGCACATTGTGGGGTTCATACTTTGTCAAAATCAGGTTATTGGAAAGAGTTCAAAGAACAATTACCAAAATACTAATCCTAAAAACTGGAGTACACTGGCATACTTAATAAATACATTGCAGCTACTACTGAGATAGATGATTTTGTGGATATCTAATTATTACCAGTGGATAGATACTACAAATTCAAGGCAATTATAGATTATTGACGAAAACTAGAGAAGCATAAAGAAAGAAGTTCATTATAATAATAAAGTGGACTACGCATATAAGAAGAAATAATTGCTGTAAGCACTGTCAACCAGTTTAAAGCTAGACAATAATTGATAAAGGTTACAAAAATTAAACGATTATTACAACTTATTCCCCGTTAATAAAAAAAAAACATTACTGTAGCCTTAAAAGATAGTTAAATATATATTTTACCTTCCGTCTATTTTTTGTACGAGATTAGTGAGCAAAAAACCAAGCAACAGTCGATTCTTGATTACGTTAATTAAATTTTCGGCAACTATCCGTCTGGCATCACGAAGAGGTCTGTTCGAAGGTATTTGAAGGCTTTTTAAACTTTGTAAAACCGGAGGAATTATTTTTAAAGACATGCTGGTCGAAATCGGCGAAATATCGACTATAACCAATTTGTTAACTAGATCCGGCTAAAAAATACATCAAAATTATCATTGGTCTAATGAAAAGAGTAAGTAGGTACACAGAGTTATTCAATCTGTGAATAATGTGCCATTTTGTACATAATTAACATATCTTTTGTATCAAATCAAGATAATCTACCTTAGGGCCGTCCCGTTACACACACTAACATTTTTATTTAATTTAAAAAATATTTGAATAGCAATATAATTCAGAAATATTTTAGACGAACAATTTTCATAGATTTTTGTAAAATATTTACAAAATTTCACCACTGTGTTACATCCCTTTAGTTTTGATAACGGCAATAATTATTTAGGACATTATGTATGTTTGTCTTGAGAATCTTGTGCAATGAACCCACCCTATATTTTATAGAATCGATGTTAAGAAAAAGATACGTCTGTCGTATCGTAAATTCATGAACCCTATTTGCGGACTCAACTCTTTAAATTAATATACTCATCGTTTCAGTGACTCATTGTCCATGCCATGAGATAGAATAAAAAGGGATGCTATGACGATCCTACTTAAGACAAGTGTCCGCACCTTTGCATTGCACTTTTACGCAATATCAAACTCGAAATAGTAGCGTCCAGTCAGTTTTGGTGGGAATAAAGGCCATTTTTTTAAATAGCTTCATTTAAATGATATAAAATAATTTTCATTCCGTCAGTCTTCAAATATAAAATTATTTACTTTCAATAAATCAAAGTACGACTCAAGTCGCCATTTTCATTATACTTTTCCGTCACTTGAAGTGTCGTCGCTACTTTATTCTATCTCGATGCAGTAGTACAAAAAATTATCCTTTAGGCAAATCATTATAATCGCATTGCAATTTTTAATAGAAATCTAATTTATATTGAACACTCCATTCAAATATATTGCTTATATCTTTTTGCAAAGCTGATTTTAATAGATGAGAACACTATGTTCCTTTTTGAATAATAATAAATCAAAATGAGAACCTTCAATTTTTACACATAATGTAACATTTTACAGATAAATGAAACATTATAACTCCTTATAAATTACACAAAAAAAAAACGCAAAGAATATTTACATATTTAAGGGCAAACAACATGGCCGTTCTGCCTCCCATTGAATGACCTAAAAGGTTAACCCTTCTTAACGCCATTGAATCCATAAAATTCTTCAAATCTACCACCATAGAATCATAGTTGTGTTCTCTATAATGTGGCGAGTCCCCATGATTTCTAGCATCGACTGCAAGTACTTTAGCTTTGGTATGTAGATGGAGTTTCTTGGATGTAGTGTTCCAATTATTTTTTGATCCTAATAAACCATGTAGTATAATTAATGGTATGGGTGCTGGATTATCTTCTGAATAAGTGTTTGTCGATTCGTATGAGTTATATGCTAGTTCTAGTGAGTCACTTTTATAGTTTGTGCTAGCATGTCGGTAATGGATTGGTATAATGGAAATGGTTCTCTGTAGATTTTTTACTAAGTTTTTGGCATGATAAAATATCATTTCTAATGTACACGAAACGGAAATTTTGACGTTGGTGACATGAAGACATCAAAAATTTAACGTCAACGTTCATTACCAATAAAATCGTTTAAAATCTGGGGGACAAATAATATTAAAAACACAATTTTGTGTAGCGTATGGATTAAATATCGTAACATTTATTTAAATCTACATCTACACCTTTGAACGTATATTGACTAAAAACTTTAATAAATAGGAACAGGAGTTCAAACTTGTATACAGGGTGTGCCGAAATTAGACGGTCATATTTTAACAGCGTGATTTACATCCTAAAATAAGAATAAAAGTTCATATAAACATAGGTCCGAAAACGTTTCGTTTTCGAGATACAGGGTGTTGCAAGTAAAGTCCTGATGGCCTATTTTTGTAAATATTTTTTAAAATTTCGTTAGTAACTGGTTTTCTAAAGTAAAAAAAAAAATTCTGATTTCACAGGCCTACTAATTATTGTTTACACTTTCGAATAACTTATCTTGAAATTTTCAAATGCTTTTTTCTTGAAAATGGTGCGTCCTAGCGAGATGCAACAATAGTAACTTTATTATAAAGAAAACATTGGTTTTCCAAATTTTATAGTCAAAAATGGTAAAAACTGTCAACAAAAAAAACTTAGGACAATTTTACCCTAAGCCCCCCTACTTTACCCACCTATGAAGATGATCAAAAACTGGGGTTTAGTCCATTAGATTGAGCGTAAAAAGGTTAGCATTTGTACCAAATTTTACTTGGTTATCTTTAAACGTTTAGAAAATATTTACAAAAGAGTGTCATCAGGACTTCACTTTTAACACCCTGTAACTCGGAAAAGGAACGTTTTCGGACCTATGTTTATATTAACTTTTACTCCTATTTTAGGATGCTGTTAAAATATGACCGTCTAATTTCGGGACACCCTGTATAGAATGATTCTCAGTTTTTCGCCCCTTAAACTTTTTAATAGAGCTATCACTAAGTTATCCGTATTCAGAAAAACTTTGTCTTATCTGCTAGTCGGTAGATATATAGAGCATTCAATATAAAAACCGATACATGTCATCAATCAGTTGTGAAGTCATAGCCTTGCAGTGTTGCCCAATCTTCAAAATAGTCTAAGAATGTAGGAATTTTTAAAACTATGAGGTTATGTTTTTTTGGCTATGTTATTACGAACAATTAATTTTAAATGTATAATGAATTCTATATAAAAGCCAATGAAGGTCATTGATAATGTTTAAATTGAAGTTTTAGAAAAACACTGAATTTAGGAGTAATAATTTTTGCACAAAAAGTTTAAAATGACAAAAAAAGGTTAGAATAAGGATGAAAAAACAGACAAATTTTATTTAGGCTTGATTTAATTTACAATAAAAAATAATTATGTTCAGTTAGTTTATAAACATCCATATTTAAAAGAAATAACAATAATAATTAGAACAGTTAGGTAATAAAATTAACAACACATGACATTTTAAAACTTAAATAATATTTAAGCTAAAATCAGTTACAATAATCAGAACTAAAATCAGAATCATCTCTATTTGGTGTTATAATAATGGGAGCAATTTCTAATCGGTCCAGTATATGCTCTCTTTCACACCATTTAAAAATTTCTTTTGCAGTGTGTCTGCCCACATTTGTGGGGTAATGGTTCGGAGTGCTTCAGACCACATGTCTATACAATCTTTTTGTGTAACAAAGGCCCATTATTATCACGTTCTTTCTCAAAATAATTTATTAGAGTGCAGCGACTATTTAATTGTTTTGACATTTTTCAATGAAAAAATACACAATAAACAAACACCACTATTAAATTCCTAATAAATTTGTTCTGAAAAGAACAGTTTGTTAATAATTTAATCTAAAATACAAATAATTTGTTGAAAAGAAATCGATCGATGCAAAATAATACAAAACAAATAACAATTGACAACAATGTATTAAAATTGAAAGCTGACACATTTGATGCCAACTTTTATTATGAAATTCACTAGAAAGTGTTCCGTTAATAATCTGCCTACAGTACATTTACTACTGTGATATGATAAAAAAAACATTTTTAATATGCAATTTTATTAAAATGAACTCCATGCGTCTAAATTTATTCATTTATTTGCAAAATAAAATTTAATTATTTTTATTAGTGTGTGTGGTACCAATGACTGTCACTGACGTCATCTCTGACGTGCATAGGTTTTTATATTGAATGCTCTATAGTTGAATAGATATGTGTTTTAAACTTAAGACTAGGTAAAAGCCTCCAGGCGATATTAAAAACTGTCAAAATGCTTCACAAAAAAATCGACAAAGAGGTCTGTAGTCAGTGCCATTGTCTAGTCAACGTTCACTGGAATAACTCGAATAGACATTGATCATGCATAAAGCGTTTTTATTTGTTTATTTTTTTCAAAAAATGTATTCTGATTTTACTATTTGCCGTAAAGCAGAAACATCATATCATATAAATATATAAATGCGAAAGTTTGGATGGATGGATGTATGGATGTTTGTTGCTCAATCACATAAGAACGGCCGAAAGGTTTTTTGATTTTCATATTTTAAGGCAAAGAGGGGAAATATGTGAAAGAAGGAAATTGAGGGAAATGAGAGAAATGTGTGGGGAGCAGGGCCGCCGAGAGCCAGACCGGGCCCAGGACAATTCCCCAGATCGGGCCCCACGATGATTTTCTACTTAAAAAAAAAAGGTCTTCAAGCAAAAATTTCTCCTCTACTTGAATTTTGAATTTCTCTAAAAAACAAAGGTCCTCAAGCTCTCTAAAAAAAAAGGTCTTCAACTAAGAACTTCCCCCCTCTTCTGCCGATCTTCTACAAGTAACAAACACCACCGCTTCCGGGCCCCATTTGAGCCTGGGCCCCGGGAATTAGTCCCGGCTGCCCCCCCCCCTCTAGTCGGCCCTGGTGGGGAGTGAAAGTTTGTATGGTAGGAACTTGAAAATAGGAATTGTAGGTACTCTTCATAAATAAATAAACAAGTGTTTTTGGGTTATCACAATTTAAGGGGGGGGGGGGGGAAACGGGGGTTAAAAGTTGGCAAGGAAACATCGATTTTTTTATATAGGTAGGAACTTGAAAATTGGAATTATAGCTACTCATTACAAATAAATAATGGTATGTTTCAGGTATTTAGATTTTCATATTTTAAGAAGGAAAAGAGGGAAAATGGGGGTAAGAAGGTAAAGAGGGAAAATGGGGGTAAGAGGGGAAATGAGAAAATGAAGGAAAATGGGGGAAATTAAGGAAATGTGTGGGGAGTGAAAGTTTGTATGAAATTTGGAACTGTATGTACTCTATATAAATAAATAGACATGTTTCAAAGTATTTGGATTTTACATATATAATAAGGAAGAAAATGGAAGGTGAATTATAGCTCATCACAAATAAATAAGGGTGTGTTTCAGGTATTTGGATTTTCATATTTTAAGACGGAAAAGAGGGAAAATGGGGGTAAGAGGGGAAATGAGAAAAAGAAGGAAAATGGGAGAAATGTGTGGGTAGTGAAAGTTTGTATAAAATTTGAAACTGTAGGTACTCTTCATAAATAAATAGACATGTTTCAAAGTATTTGGATTTTACACATATAATAAGGAAGAAAACGGAAGGTGAAAGTTTGAATAAGACTTTCAGTTTTTTAATTGTAAAAAATTGAAAGTTGGAATTGTAGCTACTCATCATAAGTAAATAATGACGTATTTCAAGGCTTTTGGATTTTTACATTTTAAGGAGGAAGGAAAATGGGGAGTATCGTAAAAATAAAAAACAAAAAAAATAAATAAAACTAAATACAAATAAATAAAAATAAAAAAATTAAAATAAATAAAAATAAATATTATCATCCTACTAATATATAAATGTGAAAGTTTGGATAGATGGATGGAGTATGTATGGATGAATATTTGTTGTTCAATCACGCAAGAACGGCTGAACGGAAAAAATTAATAAAAATTAACAAAAATTAATCAAAATTAAATTAATGGAAATCAATAAAAATTAATAAAAATCAATAAAAATTAATAAATCATCGCGAAAATAGTCAAAACGGATTCAGGGGACCCTAAAACGTAAAAAACCGTCAAAAACTCGAGGTCGAAAAAAATCATGATTCCTATACTTTCCGAAAGTATAAATCGTAGAGATGCTTTCATAAAGTGTTTAACCACAGGCCTCAAAGCACCTCACAAAGAGGTCCAAGTTTCGTTATTGTTCATGCGCATGATATGAAGGTAGACTTTTTCCTGGCGCCGTGTATGTTTTCTTGACAAAGAAAAAGGATGGCGAATATCATGACGAAATGAACGCTGGCTATTTTGAGCAATGGTTTGAGGAGTCACTAATTCCTAAATTACCTAAAAATTGACGAAAGAACGTTGTTGTTATCGATAACGCTTCGTATATTTCCCGAAAATTTAGTTTTCCAGCTACCCCATGGAAAAAACCCGAAATAAAAAATGGGCTGTTTGAAAGAAACATTATCTTTGACGAAATTTGCCTGAGACCGGACCTGTTTTTTGACCGATCCCAGTATATCGACGGCTGGGAACGACGCGCTTCATAAGACTTTACACTGCATTCTCATTATATTGCTTATGAAAGCTAAGAACAATTCATTTTAAATAAATATTTCAAAGCCCCCCCCCCCTTACTAGTCTTTAAAACCCTGAACAAAAATAAGGAAAAACGAAATGGTTTTTGGGATAGGACGGAACTCAATCAGACGTTACTAAATAATTAGAGAAATTAAAATTAAATAGAGTTCTTTACTATATCCGGCTATGGCACAGTTTGCTTATGAAAATGATTGTATTTCATCTAAAATCCTACCATCCTCTAAAGTTATATCAAAAATAAACTTGGACGGATAATACCTAAATTACTAGTAATGCCCTTTCGCTCCACGCATATAAATCATTAGTTAGCTTTAGCTATTGTTTTCTGAACGAAAATTAAATAAACATTTTATCAGTCTTGACCCTTAAGATAATTAAATTTTAATAAAAAAAATCTACCACGGATAATACCTAAATTACTAGTAATGTCCTTTTGCTCCACATGAAACAATAGTTAGGTTTAGATATTATTTTCTGAACGACAATTAAATAAACATAAAAAAAAGGATTCCCATGAATAATACCAAAATTCCGCTCCATGGATATGGGCCATTAATTCGATTTAGGTATTATTTTATTAAAATTAAATCAATTACGTCCTATGTTAAAAAAAAGACAAACCCAAATAAAAATTTTATTAAAAAGAAAACATATTTTATGAAAATTAAGAATTCGAATCACAACAAAATGATTTATTACAAATTGAGAATATTAATTTTAAACTAAAAGAAAGAACAAATATACATAAAAAACGGTTTTTTTATGCAAAAACTAAATATAATACTGATGGCAGAATGTCGAAGCGGCCTGCTTCAATTCATAACAGTGAGCAAGATACCCATTCTTGGATTGTACAGCACATTTTATTCGCTTAGTGCGAAGTCATGGTAGGGGAAGCAAAAGTAAGACTGGCGCTAGCTGCGGATAATTCGTGGATTTTAGGGCGTTATTTTGTAATTTTGGCATATCAAATACACATATACATTTTACTTTTTGTTCAAAAAAGTAGGTAAAAACAATACAATAAGCAACTGTGTTGAAAATTGTAAAAATACTAGCAACAAAAGTGTAAATTATAAAAATTTTCGGTAGCAAAGTGGAAATTAAATCAAATAAATAAATGGATATGTGTACAATAAGAAGACAAATTACCTTTATTTTTGTAATAATAACAGTAATACTGAAAATAGTAGATATCAGAAATTTTAAAGGTTTTAAATAAACAATAAATATAATTTTACAATGTTCTTCAACATCCCTTTAATCTTAAATGTTCAACAAGAACTAGATTTCTGCCTTTGATAATTTATGTGGCTAGAATGCAATGTTGTGACTTACTGATAGGAAACCAGTTTTAATAATTCATTCTGTTATCTTTCGAAAAAAAATTAAAGTATAAATAATGCTTCTGTTTATACATTTTTTTTATTTTGATAGAATATGTTAATTCTTCAAAGACAACTTATTAGACTTAGGCAACTTCTCATACGTTTTCCCGTAAATATTGTTGCCTGCCTTTATTTTTATTGATTTTTATTGAATATACTTAATTTTTTTTAGTTTAAGCGATAAAAATATATAATAAATTAATGTTTTACTTGTTTTACAAATCTATATACTTTTATTAAAACTAACATATATACTTTTTAAGTACGAATTCTATTAAAAATTGTATTGTCAGTATAGGCAAAAATAGTCCCTTAATACAAAAATGATTGGCGCTGCCGACACGCACGAAGGGAATAGGTTCTTAACCCGATTCGTGCAAACTCCATTATTTATTGGAAGTCGGGAATTGAAGTTACTGTTCGTCTAGTGAAAAAAAGAAAAATTGTGACGGGGCTCTTATACATAAAAAACGTTTGAAAACTCGAATTTTTAACATTAAATAAGATAAATGGCAATTAGTAAAAACTAAATAAAAATGTTGATTTTGGTTTTCCGATGGATTCTATATATCCCAAATAAGTAAATAAAAGTAACTTCGTTACAATCTAATTATATAATCTAAAAGGCTTTGCTTAAAGGATAGACTATCAGTATATTTTAATTGATGATCCCTTGTGAGGGGAAATATATGATGAAAAAGTACTTTATACAAAATTGTTTAAATTCAATGGATATTTCTCCAAACAAAACATTTATATTTGTGTCCAGGGACTTGAATGTGCGAAAAGTGTGGTTTCAGTCTATAGAACTTTTAAAGTGATAAAAAGTATAAAATACTGTTTTAAAGATCACTTCAATGCAAGTCACTATAATTAACACTACTTTTTATAAGGTAACATATCATAAATCATGGTCATAAATATGGTCATGATACATTAAATTTATTTATTTAATTTAAATATAAGCTTATTATAGGTACATATTATGTAAACTGCTGTAAAAACATTAAAAATCTTGATGAAAATATAAACACAGAAAATATGTTTAGGTTGTCAGTTACAACTAATAAATATAATGATTATGAGAGTGAACTGTACTATTCTGAAATCCCCTCCCTTTCTTGAATGAGAGAAAAGGATGGAAGCGATATTCTGAATTCATAATGTGAACTGAATGAATTAATTCCTAACAAACAACCTTACACCAATGCCAAATGTCTAAATAGTAATGTATCCCTTTAAACTTTAAATACCTGACAATAACTTGGCTGGGTGTTTCTTTTCTCATTTATTTTAGATATTTTTCATCATTTATTTTCTTTTTATATGAGAATTCCCTATTCACCCAACATGATTTTTTTTTACTTTTTTAAACATAAGTTTTTTTGCTGACCATCCATGAGGTGATACTCAAAAGAATTAATTTACTATTTACTGGAAAAATTGACTGAAAACACATTTTCAAAAACAAGTCACCTTAAGAAATAATAGTTTTATGAAACTTAAAGAAACACACTATCAATTATGTTAAATCAAAGCTTTAATTGTAATAGTAGTGTTAATAACAACTACGTATTTAACAAGTTACTCTGAATTTTTTAATTATATGAAAATTGGTGCAATTCTGCATCTTAGATTTTTATCTAAAATGTTATGGAATCTTTCTAGAATGGTTAAAATTAAAATCTAAATTAATACTTACTTTATAAAATCTGAATTTGCACCTGCCACAAATAATGTAGGACCTTTGTATTGTATAGAGTTGTTAAGAATAGGAAATTTTGCTAGATGATTGAAATTACTTAAAAGTGTGGGTATATTTATCCTCCAATGAAAACTAAAAATAAAAATTATCCTAAGACCGTAAAAATAATATAAAAATAAAAATTGTGCAAAATCCAGTTGGACTAATGTTCAGTAGGGTACATTTTATACCTACTTTCCTTTTCTCTTTTCCACTAAATTTGTCAAAAGGAATGCTCTTAATCCTTTATCCTCTATAGATTTAGATAGTTGATCATCCACCATTGTTCTACAAGTAGACATTGGAACGTCTGTTGGTAAATTGATTCTCTCTAATGTTTGAAAAATACTGGGCATTGTAAATAGATGAGGACTATCTCTTACAGGAGAAATATCCGCAACTATTAACCTATCAACAAGTTCAGGCTAAAACAAAACATTGCTAAAGATCTAATGAGATCTATAATATACAGAGTTTATCAATAACAGTATTTTAGTAATCAGTATTTAAAAAGGTATTGTACGTACATATTTTAATGCAAATAGCATAGACGCCCTTCCACCCATAGAATGGCCCATTATAACAGCTCTCGAAATAGATAATTGGTCTAATAAAGCCTTCAGATCAGCAGCAATGTGGGCATAAGTGTGACTCTCAGTATGTGGACTTTCTCCATGATTTCTTACATCCACTGCTATAATTTTTCGACTAGGTTTACACTTTTGATTATAAGCTTTACACATACTATTCCAATTTGATTTAGAACCAAATAAACCGTGTATAACTATAAAGGGTGTAGATTGATCTTGATTACTTGTACTTTCATAAGTGGCGTAAGACATATTTATTGGTTCTAAGGTTTCTGCAGTACTTACACATCTAACTGGGAAGCGTATTTTTGTTAACCCTATTAATATTGGAGAAATTGTAGTTTTAAATTTGAATATGGACATTTTGGTGCGGAATTTGGGTTTGAAAATATTTTATGATGCAATCATCACAGACACACTCACAGCAATCGGATATTGACATTTGAAGGTTGTTTTTCTATATGTTGGTAAAGCTGATTAACTAGGAAGTTTTTCGCGTAAAATGTAAATTATTGAGTAACCAGATTTTTACTTTTAATTTTATAGACTTTTAAAATAATAAGTTATGGTGATTTATACATTATAGAACGATTGTTTAATATTTTTTACATATTTGTTTACCAATAGTTATGATTTATTTTGAAAATAAATCCACACGTTGATAACATAGATGGTTGATAATCGAAAAGTCCTTCTTTTGACAGGAGATCGCGGAGTTGCCAAGTGCCAAGTACGCAAAAGAAAAAATCAGAAAAACAGATGACATGTCAAAGTCAAAGTAATGTCAGACTTGTCAGAGTTTGTCAAAAATCAGCACAAACGAATGAAAAATGAATATAATTAATTGTTATTGGCAGATAATAAAATTGAGTCATAATAATATTAATTATAATTGAGATAAAATAAGTAAATAATATTTTAGCAGTGCATGATAAAATGTTTACTACAGCCACCCACCATAGAATGATTTTGTGGGTCTCTGGGTTGTATTGATTTTTATTTTACAGCGCACAAAGGATAAGTAAACGAATAACATTTTAAAACAATGAAGTTTGTCAAATAGAACAAAAATTGAAAAATGGAACAAATAAGTGAAACCAGTACATCCTTTGAGAATCTCTACCCAGCTTTAACACAATGTTTCCTTATAATAATATGCGGGTATGTAACTTTATAAAATCATAATAAAGATACAGTGGTAATTCAAATTGTTTAATAATAAATCCTTGTTTTAGTTATTTTGCTGGACGAATGAATTGGATATCAGAAACAGAAGCCAAAGGAATAAATACTTTTATAGGAACATTTTCTTTACCTTCCCTTATTTTTATGTCTTTAGCTGAAATAGAATTGAATCAAGTAAATTGGATATTCCTTTTATCCATTTTGATAGCAAAGAGCATTGTATTTTTTTCTGTGATAATTATAACCCTATTGGTTGGAAGGCCATTAAAATTAGGACGGGCTGGGATTTTTGCTATTTTTTGCACTCAGAGTAATGATTTTGCTATTGGATATCCTATAGGTAAGAATGCTATAGCCATTTCATTAATCTACTGAACAACCAGACCACCACTTAAAACTTTTTGTAATAATTTCACTTTGGCATTATAGTACTTGTCACATGTTGCTTGTTATCTGTAAAGTAAACAAGCGCTGAGGATTGTCATGTTATTATGATGGCCTCTTACTTTTTAACAGGGTTCGGAGGATATATATCAAGTGATATATATCATGATATTTATACCTTGATATATATCCGATATATTCACTAATTTTATTTATTAAATTAAAAATGTTTTCTACCATTCTGAACATCTGAAAATGTCTCAATACGCCCCTGTATAAAAGTATAATAACTAGCAATTTATATGTGTTTGTGTTAAAATATTAATGTTAACAAAATAATGTTAAAATCAGTTTATTTTATTAATTATTTTTGATTGTTCTTCTAAACTTGAGTTAGAATAATTGGTTTTGTTGTTTAGAATATAGGTTTTTGTTAGTATGTTTGTGTTAAAATTTAAAATATAGTTTGTGTAAGAAACAGTACTGTTTTTTAAATTTTAAAAATGATATATATCAGATATATATCATGTGATATGATATTTATATAAATATCATGATATTTTCGAACCCTGCTTTTTAACCAGCCATCCAATGATAAATTGAATATTTGTTAGTGCTGCACATAGAATTTTGATCCTCAGAATGGTAAACCACATGTTTTACCACTGAGTTCCGATTATCATAAAAACCAACTAAAAGTATCCATAAGGGTTCAGAAAAACATTTTTCACCTGCAGTTTCAACTATTTTAAAACAATAGGGCAGTTGACAAGTCTAGAAAAAGGTGACATTATCAACTATTGAACCAAATATTACAAACATGAGACACTACATGCATACTGTAAAAATATCACTATGACCTTGGACCTGTAAATGGGCGTGAGCTTGCTGTTGCCAATGTGAATTGTATATAATTGTAATTCATGATGAAAATCTCCCAAAATTATTAAAAAAAGAAACATTCCCTAGTTAAACAGATATACAACTATAAAAATTCAATAAACTCTCACAAGCAGTGTTGCCAATACCAAAGAAATGATTAGCGCAAAACTCTAGCATAAAAAGCGCAATTTTTGATCAAAAAGTGTAACTTTATTACCAACATAAAAAAGCCAAAATATTACCTTAAATATGATTTAAAAGCACAAAATAAAGGATAAGGGTTTATGGTAATTCGCAAGCAAGCAATTTTCTTGACAGTGTATTTGTCTGTTTTGAGTAACAAAAATCGTTATTTATAAGTAAAAAAGGAAGAATATGAAATGTCATTACCAGTCACAAATAAGTGGAGGGCGCAATAAAATCGCAACACATAGACAAAAAGCGCAAAAGTTGCGCTTTTTGCGTCTAATTGGCAACACTGCTCACAAGAAAGTAAAACTAAATAATCTTATTTTGAAATATTCATTTCTTTGTTAATATTTGGTCATATAAATCACAATACTGCTTTGACTAAAACTATGATCTTTGTCATACATGTATCAAACGAGGAAAGCAAAAATAGTGTGGTTGAATGAAGTTTTATCATAAATTTTTACCTTTTTTCTACATATTAGTTGCTGGCGCCTGCCCATCTGAAATGTGGATGAATCAATATGCCCTTGAACGTACAAAATTTTTCACATTCTATGTCATTTGACATAAAATTTTCAATTTCATTAATAAAAACAAGTCTGACACTAAACAAAATCACAGAAGTTCACTGAATTAATACTAGTCGACACATAAAGCATAACTGTATTAGAATCGAGAGTAGAATTACCTGATACTACATATTACAACTAATCAGACCACCACCTATGGAATTCTTTTAAAATCCCTATAAATTGGAGTGTAACTCTATAACTCGTTTTTAGTTTCTCGCTCTGTCTGTCATCTCTTGTTATTTCCACTCTTTGATTGAACAATATGTTGGTTGAGGAGGGTAAAGAGGCACCTCAGACATACTTTATAATTTAAGAAAAAGTACTTTGTTTCTTGATGATGTACAATGGTCTGAACAAGTTCCAAGTGCAAGAGCTTTCTTTTCAAATTCAAAATAATAATTAAAACTCAATGAATACAATAATGTAATACTATAAAAATTAAAATAATGTTTTTTAGTTGCTGCTTTGTATAAAACATCTCATCCAGAGTATGCAACATATCTTTATCTGATGGCACCCATAAGTCTGGCAATTTTGAACCCCATATCATTCGTATTGATGGAAATTGGGAAAAGAAAAAGGCGTAGAAGTATGGAGCAATTGTTAATAGATGATGGGTCAATAAACAGTACTATAAGTATGCACAAGGAGAGATTTAAAGTGGCAATATCTGTGATCAAGAGTATTTTTTTTAATCCTATTATATTTATGACTATTTTGGGAATATTGGGAAATATTGTTTTTAATCATGCTGTACCTGTTTATCTTGGAGGAACTTTAAAGGTAAAAAAAATATAATTATTGTTTTTCTTTAATTATAATAACATTTAATAATCATTGAAAGCAGTGATTAATCATTATGCACTTCTTGCATTTCATATCAGTGCTTACGGCCAACTATCAATTTACTTTTAGCATATATCTGCATGACAAGACCCGAGTTCAGTTTAAATTCACATATCTTTTTTTGGGTTTTATAATTTTTTTTTTTTAAATATAAGATTTTTTCATCAATAAAAATTGTATACTACAACCAATTTTATTTAAAGAAAATATATTCTATTTTTTTAATATTTGACAAATTACTCAAATAAATGTTCTATTAATATAAATAAATTATTTTATATTGAATTTACAGTCTTCATCGCCAGCCGTCAATAAAGCCATACATTACCATATCGATTTGCGGAAGTAAACAAACACTTTATCTCACTGTAAAAATCAAATATTTTATCTGCCCTAATATTTATCAACATAGCCATGGTTGTCTGACAGAAATAGTCTGTAACTTATTTGTTTTATATTCGATGTTATTGTTCTGTTTGTTAACGTTGTCATACTAAAATATGATATCTCCTTTTTTTTATTAATTATAATTATTTATGGTTGGAAGTTTGTATGAACCACTCGCCTTGCTCGCTTCTCTCGCTTGGCTCATAATCTCAGACTAGTTCGATAAAGAATCACTTTGCTGACTTGGTACATAAATAACTATTATTCTAATGAATAGTACTAATCATTATATTTATATGCTTCTTGAATAATATACTATAAAATATATAGGTAAGTGGCAGCTTGTGATTAAAGACATTGGGTGTTCTGCAAGATTCTGCCTCCTCCCTTCCTCAAAAAAATACATTATTATTTTACAGCTTTTTTCACCTACTTTTTATACATTAATTCTATACCGCAGTCCTTTTTAGCAGCAAACTTTTACTCACGTGTATTTAAAAAAATATATTTTCGTTAATTACAAATTACATGTTTCATGTACAAAAGAAACGCGCGCTAGCGACAAACTATAAACAAATCTCGCCGATCTGGCAAAAATACAGCTCAAGCACTACGTATCTTGGAGTTACTTTTTATAGAGCTGCGGGGAGGTGAGAGTATGAGCTCAGGCGGCTCAAACGGTTCACAGACCTTCCTAAACGACCCAGCTAAGAGATAATAATAATAATAATAATAATAATAATAATAATAATAATCGACTTTATTTAAAAAATAATGTTAGATTTAGCTAATGCTACTCTTACACCTAACCCTAAAAGCGGCTCGATTAAAATGGCAGTTTTTGATTAACCAAGTCAAAAAATGCTTTATTGTCAAAGACATTCATTTCAAAATATCTTTATTTATACAATATATACATTTCATTTAACTATTGGAATATAACTTTATATCTTAGATTTCTTCCTATCCTGGGAGTGAGGAAGTGTTCTAAGATCATGACCGATGTCTTGGCCGTGTTCATACCCTTTAGTTAATTTAAATTCTGATTTATAGTGTCCTCTCCTTGCTTGTTAGCATTATAAGACAATTTTGGCTACATGACTAGAGTCGATAATGGTTTATGAAGGAGTTTTTGTCATGATTTTAATTCTGTCTGTCATCCCTGAAAAACTGTTAAAAAAAACAGGGTTGTCCTTGTATGTGAGTGTGTCTCATCTTTGTTTACGTACGTGAGAAAGACAAATCTATAGACTACACAGTAAGGCCCCCATTCAATATTGAGTTTGCAGCGCAAACCGCAATTTCAGCATCGAATGATGACGTCACCGTGCAGTCTTCCGTCCGACCAGAGTTGATAGCTAGCCGGATTCGAGATTTGTCTATTCAGTGTAATACTCGCTGCTGTGAGTTAGTTAGTAGCAGCGCCCAGTCCACGTCCTGTCGGTAGCTGAGGGCTGTCTCTATTGACGTCTGTAAAGTTTTAAGTTTTGATGTAAACATCCATGGACTCTGTTTACACCATCATTTTGGTGGATTATCAATATATCGTCTTTGATGAATGGTGGTATACTTTTTTCAAAGAAATTCTCGGACATTTTTAGTATAAATTCTTTAATAGGTTCCATGGATGTTTGTTCGTGCATGTCCGTTATTCTTGCATAGTAGTCGCACCCCAAAGCGAGCCGGAGACACTTGTTTTGAACTATCTGTAGCCTTTTAAAATGAGTGTTAGCCATAGAGCAGAAAACAGGACATCCATATGTAAGAATTGGCCTGATTACTTGCTTATATAGTAATAATTTGTTTTTTGTTGTGACACCGCTGTTTTTGTGCAACATAGGGTACAATGTTTTAATTGCCCCTGTAGCCAGACCAATTCTTTTTGTGATATGTTCTGCGAACGTCAGTCTCCTATCTAGTATAAACCCTAGGTATTTTAAGCTGTTTTTAGTTTCTATTTCCTGCCCTTGAATTTTAATTTTATTAATAATTCTATCTGAGAATTTCTTGGACAGGATTACGCTTTCCGTTTTCTCTGCGTTTATTTTAATTTTGTTACTTTCTAGATAGGGGACTACCGTTCGGTTTATATGTATGTCCAATCTTCTGCTCGCTATGTTGGCTGATGTGGAAGTTTTATAGATACAAGTATCGTCCGCATACAGGGCCGTCTGTATGCCATCCTGACCCATTGGTATGTCATGGGTCATGATGGAATACAGATGCGGCGCAAGTACTGATCCTTGGGGTACTCCTGCCTGTGCTCTGTAAGGTCCTTGTGTAGTATTGTTGATTTTAATGTTAAATGTTCTGTTTTGTAAGTACGTTTGCATTATTTTTATAAGGGAAACAGGGTAATCATTCACAAACATCTTGTAAATCAACCCTTTGGTCCAGACTGTATCAAAAGCCTTCGCAGCATCCAGCGCGACTAGCACTGTTTGTTTTGCTCATTAAAGGCTTTTTTTGCGTGATGCGCAATTCTAATTATTTGTGCTATGGTGCTGTGTCCGGCTTTAAATCCAAACTGTTCCTTAGGGATGATTGGTTTGTCATGTTCGTGTGTCGTTATTCTGTTTAGTAGGATTTTGTCGAGTATTTTGGCGATGCCATTTAAGAGGGCGATGGGGCGGTAGCTTTCTATTTCATTTTTATTTTTGCCAGCTTTATGGATGGGTATTATGTTTGCTTTTTTTAAGTTTTCTGGATAATGTTGCAATTTAAATACTGAGTTTATTAAGTAGTGTAGGTGAACTAGTGATTTTTTAGAGATATTTTTTAAAAGCTTATTATGGATGCCATCCGGGCCAGGTGCTCTCTTACTCGGGGATCTTTTAATTGTATTATATACTTCCTGAGGGGAAGTAAGCATTTGTGGGGGTATATTTTGTGTGGGGATGTTTTGTATATCATCATACGTGTTTTCAATGTGATTTTGCTGTTCATTATTGACCTGTGGATTTACAAAATTGCTTTGGAAATATTCTCCAAGTGCACTTCCCTTCTGCTCGTCTGTAATGTAGGTTGTATTGTTATGTTTATGTTTCAGTATGGGTAATTGTGAGTAGGGCTTTTTAAAGCATCTGACAATTTTCCATACTGAGTTGTCTTTTGTGTTGACCGCCTCTAGGGTTTTCTTCCAATTTTGATTTCGAAATTCATGAATCATTTTATTTATTGTTTTTGCTATTTCAAGTAGAATAACCCTATCAGCGGCTTGTCGGTGTGTTTGCCATCGTCTACGTATGTTATTTTTCGTGTGTATTAACTCTACTATGTCTTGCGGTAGGTCTTCGTGATGTGTTTTTCGTTTTGTTTTCTTTGTCGATGTGTTTCTGGCTGTTAATATGGCATTTTGTAAATTGTCGAATTCGTTTTCTAGTGTTTGTATGTCGGTAATGTTCGTGTTGATTGTGATGTTTGAGTCCAGGGTTCGTCTGTATTGTGTCCAGTCTGTAGTATTGTAGTCGTAGTACATACCCCGTATTCTGGGGATGATTGTGGTAGATTTGATTATTAAGAATACGGGGTCGTGGTCCGAGTTTAGTGTTTTAATCGTTCTTGTGTTTTCGATGTTAGGTAAGTTTTTTGCTACCGCTATGTCTATTGTGCTCGGTGTGTGATCTGCGCAGAAAGGGAAGTGCGTTGGATCATCGGGATAGTGAATTATATAGTCATTATCATCCGCAAATTTATCAAGAGTTCTGCCATTTTTGTTGGGGATTGTGCAATTTGCGTCCCAATGAGGATGTTTACAATTTAGGTCCCCGAGTAATAGAACCCTGTTACCCGTGGCCATGATTTTATGGAATTCTATAGGCGCAAAGTTGTTGGATGGCTTGTTATATAATCCTACTAGTGTTATATCATTTATTTTGATTATTATATGCTCCTGTGAGATATTCAGGTTAGAAACTTGTTTAAATTCTATATTAGATTTTATGATGAAAGCTACTCCACCCCATGGTTGGTCTGGTCTGTCTTGTCGTATGACATCATATCCTTGTATTTTGATTTTGTCAGTTTGTTTGTAGTGTGTTTCCGTAAGGAGTATGATGTCGAAATGATGTTTGAGAATGAAACTGCGAACAAGTGCTGTTTTGTTGCGCATCCCATTTGCATTATAAAAACAAATTTTAAGTGTTTGTTTGTCTTTATTATTTAGTTCAGTTTCTTAAATTGAAATTAAAGTCAATGTTAGTCATGAAATCGTTGTATGTTTCGAATAGTTGTTGTCCTGTTTTACATAATCTTGTTGACAAAGATGTAGAAATATAAAATACAAAACAAATAAAACAGTAGATACAACATAAAATATCCAGTCAGACATTTGTTAAAATAAAAGAAAAAGTAACAATATATGAAATAAATTAGTTACAATGAGTCATTAAAGAACTCTGCAAGATTATAGTAAGTTTTCTCAGCTAGTAGACTCTTCAGTTCTCTCCGAAAAGCCTTATCATTTTCAGTATGTCGTAATTCTAATGGCAGGTGATTTAAATTATTTTTTCCCGTTATATACTAAAGACTTCAATATCAGGTTAGAGGTTGGTATTGACAATGGTATATAATAAGTTAATCTGGTAATGTGATTCGATAATATACGTATATCACGTTTGAATTTTTTAAACACAAGCAAACATATCAGAAATGTAGAAATTATAGATTTTATGTTGTAAGAATAGAGGTTTTTGGCATGAGGTTTTTGAAGTAACTTTACATAAATAGCATACAGCTCTTATTTGGAGAACAAATACTTTATTAATTAATTCTAAATAACACGACCCCCCAAAAACAAATATAATATCTTACATGTGACTCAATTATTGAAAAATACACTCTTTTTGCATCTGCTTGCTATAAATAAACAGCCGATAATTGACATTAAAAGTCAATATTCGTTTTGGAAATATTGAAAGAGAGCATTTTATTATCACACCAACTTTTAATTTTGTTTATATCGGAATGAATAATTTCAGATAAAACAGTTGAATTTGTAGCATGCCATAAAATATTGGTATAATATTGTATGTTAAGATAACATTAAAGAATATATACAATACAAAAAACATTTTTATATAAAAAAAATCTAACATCTTACAATGTTTAAAATAATGTGACGATAGTTTAATTCATTTATAGTTTATTTATTTAAAACACTATTTAAAATTTATTTAAGACGTACTAATTAATTTATATAATACTTAGGCACTAACTCTATTAACTATTTATTACAATTTAACTTTTCAGTCTAATGCTTTATACTAAACTAAACTGTCCGCCGATAAGTCGGGCTATTTATACCAAGTCCAACTCTGTTACGAGAAGTCTCTAGACGCTCCAGAAAATTCCATCTCTGACTCAACGGCACTCTCCGCCCGTTCTAGCCGTTTCTCGAGCGTCAGCGGCATACCTAGAAGATTTCGTCGTTTCGAGCATGAGTCGGGTGCCACAGACTTGAAGGTCGTTTGCTTAGACAGAGAAGGCTTAGGAATTCCCGTGACATTGCCCCCTCCTTAATAAATAGTTCCTCCTGGAACTGAAACTGAATGGTTGTATTTGCAACTGGATCCTCTTTTAAAATTTCCAGTTGCATGGAAGTAACAAGAGACAATCTTGGTTATAACCTGAACGCTGGGAGAATGGCTGCAGACCAGTATTTCAACCTGGGTATCTTGGAAGATTACTTCCACCATGTTTCTAATGATCCTCCAATTCATCTGGTTGCTCTCCATTATGCTCCCTCAGACTGAGTAATGCTTCCCATACATCCTGATAGGTGGATCTATTTCGGAAGGTGTTCTCTGTTATCAAATGGAAAAGATAACGCGGTCCATCTTAAAGTTTCAATGCTTTTCCAGGGGCTGGTAACTGATCTTGAAGTTCTGGCAATCGATCAAACTTCTTCCGGAATACAGATGCCAGACCTCGAGCGTCGTAGATGTTGGCGGAAGTGCTATGGACCAGCGAGTAATCTTTAGGAACCGTGAGCAGGTCTTGTTGTTGCTCAGTTGTTACACCATATCTTGCTTTTCCGGTATCTCCATATGCACCCATAAATTCTTTAAAGACAAGGTCAGGTATTTCTTGGAGCTGGTTTACTTCTTCCTCTTTATGGTCACCCTCAAATGGCGCCAGCCGGTTTTGGTGCACTACCTTTGGTTTACCGTTCGAGATCTTACTTATACGGTAAATGACATCATTGATTTTTTTCTTGATGATGTACGGACCTTCCCAAGATCTTTGGAGAATAACCCTTTTGTCTTTTTGGGTTATGGAGCCAGACTTTGTCGCCTTCCTTGAAACATCCTTCTTTGGCTTGGGTATCTCGTATCGCTTCTTCATTCTGTCGCTGACGATTTGAAGATGCGAGCGGACCAATTCATGCATATTGTCCATTCTTCTTCGTAACTGGATCACATAATCCTCCAATACTGGCGGTAAATGGTTTGAACTTGAACTTTAACACTGGGAAAAAGAGCGGCAGCAAAAAGAGAATTATCGAGGAGGCCGGTTTTATATTTTACGCTCGGGCTAATTTGGTTTCCGAGTGGTTCGGAGTGAGAGTAGCCAATATTTATAAATCGGAGGACTGAAAAAATGTCCTTTTGACATTTGCTAAAATGACCAGATAATTTACATGAATTAGAGTGTTTAAAGCTGGATTCGAATTTCAGTAAATAATGATATATTTTAAACTACCAGGGCTCTCGCACATGTTCAAAAACGGGAATTTTTAAAAAATAAACATACGGGGATCTTAAAAACGCTAACAGGTGGAAATTAACTTGAACTAAACATTTTTATAATTAAATTAAAGGAAAATTTAGTGTCTTGGTTACAGCTGCCACAATTATTTATATTATCGCCCGAAAAGTTTATTACTGCCATTTTGAATTTGTAATTGCTTGTTGTAACCTCTCGGATGTTTAAAAACCGCTCATATAATTCTCTATATAAATATTTCCGATAATTCAAAATTTCCAAAATCCAAATTTGATTTTAATAGAAAAGTAGATTTTTATTTATAAAATGTTTGTTCTGGAGAAAATGTTTTTTGTTCTAGATTTTGGGGTCAGCCTTTTCTGCCAGTGCCCTATTTTTACTAGGTTTAAGAATGGTCGGGAAGGTTCATAAATTAACAGGTGCCACATTGGTTGTACCAGGAATTCTTATAATGGTTAAACTGTGAGAAATAATTTTTCTGTAAATATTTTTTTTACTTACTTAATGTTTATTTTTAGTTTAGTTTTGCCACTAGTTACTAGGGAGGTGATAAGTGCTTTACATGCGGGTCACAACGAATCTGAGACTGTAGATCTTAGTACATACGGGTTTTTATATGGTACTTTTCCGTCGGCACCAACAGTTTTTGTTTTTTCAACGCAGTATTCTATAGATGTAGATTTGGTGAGTTTTTACTATCTTTTATCCAATTTTACTAATTATGTAAACAAATATTTGATACCTTTTTGTACGATTTTTATTCAGTATGTACTTAAGTTTTATGAAAATTGTTGTTCTTCAAAAAAAATTATACATTGTTTAAAACCCAAAATACAACCATTAGATATCAATTTTTTTTTTTTTTTAATAATAATAATAATAATAATGTACGAGGTTTGTCGTAACATAGAAATTTTATCCATGAGTTATGTACCTTTACCCTTAATTTTTAACAATATCGAAAATTGTTATCAAGAAAGAATGAAAAAAATAGTTTTATGATTTGCAAAACTAATGTAATTCGTATTTATGTTGAACAGTATTAAAGAATATTTGAGCGTAGTTTTTAATTCTGATTAACTTCTCTTAACAACAATTTTCTACTTTAATCTTGCATAAAATTCATATTTTTTGACAAACCTTATACATAACTAAAACATTTGATATCTGATAGTTGTATTTTAAGTTTTAGGCCATGTCGAATTTTTTAAGAAGAAGAACTTTTTGTATAAAACCAATAATAAAACGTTTTCCATATAAAGCCGACTTAAGTAGACATACTGTATAAAATGACAAAAATCCTTCTAAATTATAAATTGGTTTTGATTATTCTAGATTGCTAGCGCCATGGTAGTCTGCACTTTCGTTAGTGCTCCTTTGATGTTTGTTTCTGCCAAAATGATCACAATAACAAACTGCAGTCCCTCCGAATATATCAAACAACTTGATTCTTTTACATTAGATATCAGTATTTTAGGTCTTATAGGTAGTTTATGGGTGTTGTTAGTTTTTGTTCTCACCAAGAAAATATTGAGAATACCACACAAGATTACAGCGGCGTTAGTTATTTCACAGGTATTTAAAAGTTTGTCTTTTTATAAATGCAGTGCAGTCGTAAAATTGTGTAAATCCAAAATGGAATTAAATGAATGAAACAAAATAATATGCCACATTCTGGCTATAGCACAATATACGATCTCACTGTATATTTCAAAGTAAGCAAAAATTAACATATTCTAACAGGTTGGTCCAAAAATATTGGGTAATAATACGATTTGATTTAGTTTTTCACTTTCTATTGGCATATAGAAAAGTTGTTAGGTGGGTTGGAAGGGTGGTCTAGGATAATTTTGCCAACAACGAGGGTACCCTGACGTAACCTCGTATCTCAGAAAACACTATTTTACAGGAAAGGCAAAAACATTTTATTAGCTAACAGAATAAAATATTTTCGATTATTTTAGAATCAGTCACAAAGTTTCGGAACACATGAATATTACAAGAAATAAACGAAATTCTTAAAAAATTAATTCAAACTAGTCCAAACGTCATACGATTTTTTAAGCTTTTACCGTAGAAACCTACAGGGCGTGACTGCATGATATGAGTTACGTGTTTTCAACATTCGGCGTCTGAGATACTAGGATTTATTTTGTTAAATAAATAATTAACTGGTAAAGATTTTAATTTAAAATTTTACAGTTATGTAAAAACATATTTTGAAGATGAATTCGGGTTTAACTCAAAACCCCCAAAAATCGAGTTACGTGGTTGCGTCAGAGTACCCTCGACATGCAGCATTAAACGGGAGAATAACATGTTTTTTTGGGTGCGCAAGTTTTACCAAAACAATAATTGTACTCTCGTTCGATGTTTGTTCAGACGACATTACAATTTATATGACATTGAACAGTGTCCAGGCATTAATTTATATTGTTATAGGTGTGTAAGAAATTTCTGTACAACTGCTAGACTTATTTTGAAGTAATCTGTCGATATTTACAATCAAAAATACTACAACAAATATGCAAAGGAATTTATTATTGTAGTTTGATTTGATTCTGAAAAATTTTAAAAATATTTTTGGACACCTTGTGTGTAAATAAAATTAAAAAAGATGGTTTTTCTTATAGCTTATAGGTTGTTTAGGTGCCATTCTATGGAACACTTTACATCAAAAAGAAGGTTGGACAGGTTATATTCAATTTTCTCTCTTCAGTATAGGAGTGTACAGTTCTAGACTGTGGACAATGATTTTGGCTGTTACATTGCTGTTTTTGCAATGCAGAAGTTTGTGCTTTGTCCTTAAGTTGCAGCCACTTTTTGTTGTAATTGGATGGGGGTAATAATAATATTAATATATTTAGGTGTTAGAAATTTTTATGAAAAATACGTTTAAACAGATGATATGATCATTGTTTAAGCAATCTTACGAAAAACTACATTTCCACCTCTAACTTTTTGACTTGAGAAATTTTATCGTTCGTGTCGGTAAAAGTCGTGGTTGATATAAGAAGAGGTGGGTGTGTTAGGAACGTTATGTTATTATAGACAAGTGTATGAGAGATACAGAGATATAATGCCTGTTATCGGTAAAACAGTGATCACATCTTTATTAGTAATTTTAAAAAAAATTGAAATGTGGCAATCGATATTTAAAGTTTTTTTTATTGATATTTATTTTTTAGGCTGCCCATAATTTTCTCAGTGTTACTGTTGGTTTTTGACACTAGTAGCGGAACTACTCCGTTTGAGAAAAGGAATCCGAATTTTGTATATGGTGCTTCGCAGGCAATCATCGCCATTTCTTTGTTGGTGCTTTGTTTTATAGGTGAGTCTCTAATTCAATGACAGTAACTGGACATTAGCTTCTTATGAAATACTTTTACAATAGGACAAAGTTAACAACTAATTATCGTTCAGGCCAACTTAGACTACAGGGGAAAAATAACCTAACACATAATTTGCAACTGTGATATTCTTAGGAGTGCGACAATGGCACTACCGGTTTTATAACAAAACAAATGTTCAATACATCGTATATAAATGGCGTGATTTGTAATTTGACCTTTTAAATGCACATGTTTCTATATCCAGATTGCTAAATCTACAGACGCTGATATAAATATTTTAGAACAATAATATAAACTTGCGGTGACCAGTTTCAATTTTGTAAATGCCCTGTAACATGAAAAATTTACCTGCTAAAAAGTGTACCTAGATGGTAAGTGGTAAATAGGTTAAATGTGACAAAATCAAAACAAAAATCTTCAAATTTTATTTTAAAAGAATGTTTAAATATGTAATTATAAGTACTATTATGTTGTATTCACTTGTACTTTGACGGTCATAATAAACATTTTAATCCTAAAGAACCAGGTCAACTGAACTATTGCAGTCTATGTTATTATTACTTCGCAATTTTTGAGATGTTCCGTGGGTTGGGGTGAAAATGTGTTTATGGCTGAGTTGTATAATTTATTAACCGACTTCAAAAAAGGAAGAGGTTCTCAATTCGTCAGATTTTTTATGTATGTTCAGTAATAATGCTTTATTAAGTTGTCCGATTTCTATGATTCTTTTTTGTTAGAAAGGGGCTACCTCAGGGTGATCCCATATAAATTTGGTAAAAATCATCAAACTCTTAATTTTTTATGTATTTTCAGCGATTATTCTTTACCACGTTATCCGATTTCTAGGATTCTTTTTTTGTTTGATAGGGGATACCTCAGGGATACTTCCGTATACAATTAGTGAGGATCTGATGATCTATGAGAAAATCAAAAATGTAAATTTTTAAGGGCATCTGCACGATTTTGATTAAAAAATTATTACCTTATGGTTATTGAGATAAAACGTTCACTTTTATCTTAATGCTTTCACTATAATATGCTTTATGTTGCTATAGTCTGAATAAAAGAGAAGTGCAGTAAACAGGCGTACTTTTCAAAATAAGTTTCTATAATATAAATAATAAGGTCACAGTATATAAAATGGTATATACGCATTTCGTAGATTAAATTTTGAATGAAAAAAATTATATTATTTACAAAAAATAAAAATAAACTCAACGCTTCTGACAAAATTGTTGCAGTTTAAAATTAAACGAATTAAATTTAACCAATAAATATATGTTGTTAATGAGATTGATTAAACGTTTTTAATCTCTTGGCGTTAAAAGTAACACTTTTGGGGGGGGGGGGGGGGGGGGGGAACAGCTTGGCACCCGCTGCTGAGTCTATGCACCAGGTAGTGTCGGGCGCAACTCCGACTAAAACCCCCTGTTCTTCTACTAAGCTACATTATAGCCGGGCACCGTCGTGTAGGCATTCCTCCGGTTATAGAGCTGTCTTTATTATATCTCTTGTGGCCTCCTCCTTTCTTCATTTTCATTTCTAATCTTTATATTTTTTATGAAGCCCTGTATTGCTTTCCATCTTTTTCGCAGCTCAACATGTTTTCCATCATAGACTCCTCCGCCAGCGGGCCCCCTAGTTCGGCTTCCAATTGTTGCCTATTTGCAACCCATCTGTCGCATATAAAAATCGTGTGGGCTGGGGTATCTATTTCTCCGCAGTATTCGCAGGACTCGTCTAGTGTCTTGCCGATTCTAAAGGTGAAGGTTTTAAAGCTACCACGTCCTGTCATGGCGTGTGTTAAAAAGTAGTCTACTCTCCTTGGTATGAGCTTCTTAGTCCACGCTGCCACTTTCCTTCCGTTTTCCCATCGTACCTGCTCTTTTTCCGGTGTCTACTCTCTGATGTCGCATTCTTCTATTTTGGTCAGCTAGATCCAGAAACAAGCTTTGTTGTTCCTCAGCCATGATGTCTATGGGGGGGCACCCCGGCCAGTATCTGGAGGGCCTCGGATGACATAGTTCTGTATCCAAAGAAAGGTGGATTGTACCACCCAGCCCAGGACCCGCCTTTTTGCGTATCCAAATAAGTTTGTCGTCTATCCACACACCCAGATATTTGATGTTTCGGCTTGGTTTAACCACATTTGCTTGGTTTAACCACATTATTTTCTACCTGTAGAGTTATTCCGTCTCGATTTCTCTTCCATTTTAAAATAACAGCTTCAGTCTTCTTTGGCGCAAGCTGCAGCTCGTGTCTCTTCACCAAAATTTCAATTTGCATTACTGCATGCTCCGCCATCTCTTGGGAGTTCTTCCTTACCGTCAGCCTCGGCCAGTATTGAGAAATCGTCCGCGAACGCCAACGTTGTGCAAGATTCGCCAAGACCCAGTACAAAGTCGTACAAAATGTTTCAGGGTTGGTCCTAAGACCGAGCCTTGTGGTACACCGCCGCTCACTTGCATCTTTCCGATGTATATTTCTCTACTAGTAAAGTAGTTTTCAATAATTTTAATTAAGTATCCGCTTACTCCTAACTCCCTAATTCTGTTTTTTATTATTATCCTCCACGATGCGGTGTTGAAGGCGTTTTTGACATCCAGGAGGGCCATCATGCACCATTTTTTCCTGCTCCGTTTAACCCAGTCGATCCCCCATTTGATGTCATGTATGGCGGATTTCCTCTTCCTGAACCCGAATTGCCTCTCGGAGAAGGCGTTTTTGTCTTCTAGTTCCTTAAGCAGTCGCTCCCTAACCATTGCCTCATAGAGCTTGCCCATTGTGTTAAGTAGGCATATTGGTCTATATGAGATCAGAATTACCTTCGCTTTCATCTACTCTGTGGGGAAGGTCTGTGTACTTAGTAGACCGTTCATAATCCCCAGGATCGAGTCTGGTGCCAACTTTATTGCGCATTTGATGGTCTCCGGTGTAATTCCGTCTATTCTGGGTGACTTACCGGGCTTCAGCCTTACTCCAGCTTCGTAAAGCTTATCTACTGAAGAGGGCGGGGATAGTTCTACCTGTTCACTGCGTCTGAATTCCCCGTTTATTACAGGAAATAGATGTACCACAATTCTTTTCTTCTCTTCAATATCTCATACGGGGTTAGTTTATTACAAAATTTGGTGACAATTTTGTAACCCTCGCCCCGGATGTCCTCTTCTAGCCTGTTGCAAATACTTCTCTAGCATTCTTTTTTGGACCTGTAGATTAGTTTTTTAGCTCCTTCTTTGTCTCTTTATAAGACCTTTCTCTCTCGTGTGCCGTGATGGTTTCATTTAGGTTTCTGGCTCTATGCCTAATCATTTCCCTCCTCTTTCTGTTACAATCCCGCCTTTTCTCTTCTATTTTATTATTCCACCAGTATGGCATCGTATTTGTTCAATCTCTTACTGTTGTGCTTCTTCTCTGTGCTCTTCTGTGTTTCCGTGACCTCCTTTAAGGTTTGGTCACGTCTCGTCATACAATCTCCTGATAGTAAATATATTTTTTGAATTTGTTTTTATGTTGCCTTGCTCTTACGAGTAATTCTGCCTTAAAGGATTTAGGAGGACTGATAATATTTTTAGGATGAAGCCATTTTGAAATATCTTCTTTTTTTTTTTCATCTTATTGTAGAGACTCCTTTAATCGACTGTGATAGTCTGCATTATCCAAAACAATAACGGAGTTGGCGGGAATTTTTTTATAATGTTCTGAAATGAATTTTCAAACATAGGGCCATCCATTTCTTCATGGTAGTCTTTTATTTTCTTTGACTCGAACATTAATAAACCAACTGGCAAAATCCATCGGTGCTTCTAATGTGGGTGAATATTAAGCGATTTCTCTTTCCTGTTGGATTTTTTAATCCACAAGAGATCCCTTTCATAAAGGCTTGTTTTTTAGTTTTGATGGCGGTATCTTGTCAAATGTTTGTTACTGTATGTCCAGCATTAACACATGCTTCATCTATATAAAATATCTGTTTATGCTGATTCCGTGCGTTCGGTATTTTCCAAATAATCATGTTTTCACGGAATGATTTCGATACGATATTTTTTTCTTCTAAAGATACCTAATGCTTTATGTTTACTAGGGGGTCGTTTACACGTATTTGTGCTTGTAATATTTTCTAATGCACTCGCTATTCTTATATAACTGTAAAATTATAATATATACTAATACAAAATTCCGAATTAATTAAAATACATACGATACGGCTGTGAATAAATAAAATATTACTTATCTCTCAAAAGAAAAGGTTTATTACAGTAAAAACGATGGAAACGTGATTAAATCTAAACGAAAACTTTTAGTAGGCTGATTAGATGTATTAAAATTTTCATTTTAACTACAAATAAGCATTGAATGGATGAGATATAAATAAAATGTCTACCTCTTGAACCTGTACTACGTTATACAATACATACAAGTATTTATGTTGCAAAAGTATTGATAGAGCTTGACAAAACTAAAATCCATATAAATCAATTATACAGCGATATTTTTTCAGTCACTGTTGGTTGCTTAATCCTCCATCAAAGATACCACAGACACTTTACGCGTTACATGGACCTGTCCAGAGATATTGCTTCTGACCAGGAACCCCAGTCTACACCAGAAGCCGAAACTACAGCAGACACGGCGGCATTAAGTCCTAATCCTAGCACGAGTTCCGATAGTGGTGTAAGTAGCGTAAAGACTCCAAAATGTTGCGGATTACCTACTATTGCTGAAGGGTGTTGTGAAGAAAAAGAGAGTCCAGTCGTCGATATCGAAGATATATTGGGAGATTTTGACAAGAAGGGCAGCGATGGTAGCACAGAAATTAAGGGATATTTGTCTGTCTTAAGCGAAGATGGGTAGGTTTATGAAATATACTCGTATATTAATATTCTATACTGGATGTTTTTTACACCTGTACTCTTTTACTACCATTAAAATTTCATACGTCTTATTTACAGTTTAAGTCCTGGAAATGATGGTTTATGCCCTACGAGATATGGCTGTGCAGGGCCTAGAAGAGAGATGTGTCAAGGAGTAGTAAGGCAGTACCAACAACAGATTGATGATGACCTCGAACTTATCGAAGAAGAACCAGAATCTCATGAACCTCAAATTTTAAGACATACAGTTTTATTGATATTACTCCTTTGTTCTATGTTTGTGGTAAGTAATTATTATTTAATCATCATCATTTATATCATGGTATCGTTGTATGAAGATAATATAGTAGGATAATGCAACAGTAAAAAGTGTTGGATGCAATCTCGAGCGGCATCTAGTGACGATTTAATGAAGTAGTCAATTTTTAATGCTATGCAGATACGCCATCTATGTCTTCTTTTCGTTCAGGCACATGGCCTCTATCACCTACCTATTATAGTTAAAAACCTCTTTATTTATTTAAAAATAACAATTTATGATAAAAGACATGAAAAATTAAACATAATAATGAAAATTTATTCCAGTTGACAAAACCGTACGAATAAAATTTTTGGATTAAGGTGATAAAAAGTGGTTAAGGACTTTGGTCAATATTTTGGTTATGTGCGGTTATGTCAAAATATATAAACAATAACAAAGAATACCTAATAACAACTTATAACAATGTCCAATGTTTTAAATAAATTGAAAAGTTCCAAGTAGAAAACAAAAAAGGAATAAGCTTCTGAAAATGTTGCATGTAATCTAAGTACTTCTAATTGGACTAAGTGTTGGAAAAGTTTATAACCATAAAAATAGCTGAATATTTTTATAGTTTTCAAAATTTGAACAAGCTTTGCTACACAATTTCATCAAAGCTATCAACAGTTTGCAAGATATTGAGTTAAGGAACAAGAAAATCACACTAATCAGGGAAAAATCAATCAACACTGGAAAACAAATAAAAAAAAAAATAGTCACAGGGATATATTAGCGACTTTCAAATGTATCTTGGCTGTTGATCATGAATATAAGAAAAAAATGTTCTCTCGGCTGGCTCTGAGTGTTGAAATAAATCACCTTGAAAGGAAGTTTTCAATAGCTCCACTCTTTAGGAATAGCTCAAGACGAAATCAATAGACCTACAAGTGGTCTATCTGTGGCAGACATATTCAGTTAGTCTTTATATTTCATTATGCAATGTTACAAGGTTCAGCAACTTGCCAAAATGGTTAAAATTTATTTCCAAAATCAGTGCTCTTATTTAGTACAGAATTCTATGAATGACACAATAATTATAAAGTCCTAACTTTGAACATAAAAGAAAATCTTATAAAAAAACATTTTTTTTTATATAATTTATCACTGTTTGGAAAAGTATATTTGTTTGTAAAATATTTGTGTTTACAGTTATATTTAATCCAGGTTAAGTGTCAGTGCGCGAGTATAATGTTAAGTATGAACAAAATCCGCCCATTCTGTTTATATGTTTGGTTACCGACCCTAGTAGATAGGCTATTTGTTATTACTTTTAATTTAGATTTTGGATTAACGTTTTTGTATATGACATGGCTGTTTAGTAATAAATGAAGTCAAAACTGTAACACATGGTTTTATTCTGGAAAGTATTTTTAAATTGAATCACGCACGCCGTTTGTAATGAAGTCAATTTTCATTACTATATTTCGGCCTATTCCGGATATAAATTTCAATTTTTATTTTTTATTTTATTTTAACTTCATGGGTAGACCCTGTATATAAAATTTTGTTTCATTTAAATTCGCGTATTTTACCTGAGTAACGAAAGCGCGCGCGCTTCGCGCACATCGAGTGGGGAGCTAGCCTGCTTGGGCATAGAGACTGGAATTCATTTTTCGGTATAAAAATTAATTCAATTCACGTTACCGATTCGACTAGCTTCTCCTGTTTCTGCTCCGATATACACCGCTGAAAATTATCGCCGATACCGTAGTTAGGTACATCGAATTTGTTTACATATTTTTTTTGTCGACGGTTCTTGAGTTAAAAACGTTCGAATACCGGTTTCATTTGAAATAATTATTCCGTTTTCGATTTTATTTAAGAGAAATAATAATTGATTTCAGATTTTCGTTAAAAATATTTTGATTTACAGATAAATTATTTAGTTTTGATTTTATTTAGAAACATTGAAAATTAGTTTTTTTGGTTATTAGGAAATAGAAACTTTGTTTCTATTTTAATAATTAATTAATTTTATTACGACCGTGAATTGTGTTTCTATTTTACAGTAATAGTAAACCTAATTTCAAATTAAATTCCGTATACAGTTGATTAGTTAATTTTCATTGCGACCGTGGATTTTGTTCCTAATTTTTTTTTTAAGTAATAATAAATTTAAATTTAAATTAAATTCCGTACATAGTTAATTATTTAACTTTTACCACGACCGTAAATTTTGTTTCTATTTATTCACAATCTGGTTTAACTTTTTTATTTATGTTTCTTTACTTGGGAATAGAATTAGTTCGAAAGTTGGAAAGTTGAAATAGTATCATTTTTCATGTCGAGTGGACTGGTTGTGGCGAGAAAGCTCACATGGGATTAGATACTATCCCGGTTTTAGATTTTATTTAAATTAACCCCTATCCGTGATTAACATATTAGTGTTTTTCTTATGTTTGAGAGTGCTGGTTGTGGCGAGTACACTCATCGTAGGATAAATACTGACCCGGTTTGATATTTGGTTTTGTGTTTAAGTGGGCTGGTTGTGGCGAGTACACTCATCATAGGATTAAATACTAACCCGGATTTTGATTATTTTCTTTTAGTTACCTCCGTGCCGTGATTAAAATGATAGTATCATTTTTATGTTGAGCGTGCTGGTTGTGGCGAGTGCACTCCTCATAGGATTGATACTATCCCGTTTTCTTATCATTTATCTATTCCCCATTCACTAAAACAAGGAGGTTTGTTTCAGTTTCAATACCGACTAGAGAGTTAACCAGATAACTTTTACTACGACCGTGATTTTAATTTATTTTTACGAAACAAAATATTTAACTGTAATCTTTATGCCGATTTAAGAGTTAACTAATTAACTTTTGCTACGACCGCTATTATTTGTTTTTGGTTTCGTTTTGGCTCAACCACCGATCCGACAAATTTATTAATTAGATACTATTGCCACCGAGCATCTTTCTTCTAATTTTAATTCTACCGTCTGATTGAGACTAATCATTACTGGCCGATCTGTTTGTTTTTATTTTGTTCAGGGTTTTAAAATTACGAGCGGGGGTGGGCGTTGAAATATTTATTTTTTTTTTTTATTGTAAATAGTTAAAATTCAATATATGTGTCAACGTTACCTTGACTGTTACTGAGGTTACTGATCCCTAATTTACTTCCCCCTTTATTTCAGCAGTGAGAAATTCTTTATCACTACAAGTGACGATTAAAGCCCGTTACTTGTGGTTACTTATTACCTGTGTCTGAGTGACCAACGACCCCTGGAATTTTTCATCTCCATCTGTGCTGCCCGAGTACTTTCGACGCCGTTTCGAAAGATTGTGGAGTAAACCACACATCAAATCTGGCGCCCGAGAGCCGTCCCGTCAACAGGCGTCATTTGTAAGTAATCGTTTTCTCTGAGGCGAGAAAACCCCTTACACGTTCAAGTGAAAATGTTTTAAGTAGTTCAAAACAACAATCACTCTTTTTCATTGTTTATAGAATACAGCCTTTCAGTTAGCTCAGACAAAACTGATTAAATAAATAAATTAATGTCTTATTATTTTTTGAATTTTTTTTTATTTTGACTGGTTGACTATCTCAAAAATTAAAGCCAATCAAGCAAAACGTGAGTCACATTTCGCTTTTTTAGAAGAACAATAATGCAAAAGAAAATTAATGATTCCACAGAAATAGCAAATTAAAGAAAATGTAATATAAAACTTACAACTAAGACGTTAAAGAAAAGTTTGGAAATAATCGATGGGGACTTCAAGATAGCAAATTTATTTTAGTTTTAGACAGAACTACTTTATTTTATTCGTTTTGAAACAATTGAAGATTTATAGGCCGGAAAAGCGATTTTAAACTGAATATTCAGTCCAATAGGCTCTCGACTGAAATCCTTTCCATTTTTAGAATATTATCTTTCAAATTCAACAATTTTATGTTTTGTTCCAACACGGATTTTAATAATAGATTTATAAATTGTTTTTGTTTATTTGAATGTTAAAAGTTCTTAAAACTAACTTTAACATATATTTCCCATGCTGGCGCTTAGTGTTAAAATAATGAGACGATTAAACAAAAAAGTCTTACGAGAGCCAGTTGCCCTCTTTTGGTACACATTTGTACAAGGCAACTTTACAAATGTTTCCTCCTTTTTTCTCTTGTAGAAGATGAACACGCTGTGGAGCGCACAATGATGGTATTTTAAAAAGCCACGTCACATAATTAGATAATTAACTTGATATAAGTGCCTTCAAGACTTAAGTCGTTAAGCATTCAAGTTTGGATTTCCCAACCCAGATTCAATTACATATAAAAACATTCTTTCTTATTTTGGAAAAAATATGAAAAATATAATTAATGCAATCTTTCTGCTAAATTTTGTAGTATTTTGATAACAGTTCAGAAAAAAATAGTAGTAGTCAGTAACTGATCTTTACGAAACCCAAAGTTGAGCACTTAACGTCCTGAGCAATGAAAGTTTATGTCAATGTTAATTATCTAATCAAATATGTAACATTCGCATTTTCTATAATTTATAATTTATTTTTTAAGACGCCTTCGTTGAGAGCTTCATCATTGTAGGACATAGGACATGCAGCAAAGTATTTCCATGTACAAAAAAAAAAAACAATGAAAAATTTTTAATTTTGCCTTTCGAAAATAATACTCCTAAATGTGCCTACCATAAATTGGTACTCGATTCGTTTTCAAATGGTGTCAAAAGTTACTTAGTATAATTTCACTAAACGTGTTTGGTATTATGTTATAAGTTTACCTAACAGCAAAAAAATCTGTTAGTTAAATTTTGTCAGTGCCGATTTTAGTAAAATTATATTGAATAATAAAATTATAACTACCTACCTATATATAGGTATTTACCCATTATTACTTTTTTTAATTTTCAACTTAACATCCTGTATTTCAGAACATTTTATCCAAACATTTTTTATTTTCGTCTATTCGTCTCATTTTGAACAATAATATTCAGTTGTTCATGTCCTATTCTTAATTTGATGATACCATTAAATAAAAGTGAATATAAATTAACAGCGTACAACTCAAGTTTAATTAACCATCAGCGATATATCCAAAATCCAACCACAATATAGAAAAAAATGTTCCCTATTATAGTAAAATTCCACCCAATCTCAACTAATTCAATCTTTTTCAAACAAAAACTGGTTTATTTTATTATATCGATTATTTTCGCATTTTATGTGACCTTCAAATACCCTGTATTCTGTGCTTTTGTAATAATTTGAAATAGTAAATTGTAACTATAAAAATACATTACCGAAGACAAGTAGAAATGAAAAAGAAGATTTTAAATTATAATTCATACTCAAGCACAGACATGACCTAAAGACCTGACTTGGACATAAGTACAGTATCGCCATCTACATTCTATGTCCATCGTCCTCCAATGATAAGTCCATAAGGTTACCCTACTATATTTATTCATACAACGATGGTATGTACGTACCTTGATAGTCGTGACATCAAAAGAAACTCTGTAACAATTATTTATCATGATAACGATGTCAGAGGCCACTATCATCTTTCACACAAATACTTTGCAATGGTTTTGTATACCGGGTTATCAAATTAAAGTGTTACAGTTAAATACTGCCGAAAATATGCATTTTATAAAAAAAAGTTTCAGACAAAAGTTTTATAATTTTTTGGGGAAACATTTTGGCTAATTTCATTTTTTTATAGCTGACCATAATATGACCATATCGAGGTAAACTTTTTTAAATTGGAATCCCATTTTTTTTCTATTCTTAAAGTTCATAAAAAAATAAGTAACTTTTAAAGGAAACATTTTTTTTATTGGACTTTTACTTATTGAGTAACACCTACTTGAAAATCTTTCTGCGCGAAAAAAAGGTTGGCCATATTATGGTTAGCTATGAAAAACGATGTTAGCCAATATTTTTTCCCCAAAAAACTGTAAAACTTTCGTCTAAAACGTTTTTTTATAAAAGGCGGTATTTAACTGTAACACTTTAATTTGAACACCCGGTATAAATAGATGTAATTATACTTCCTGTTGGTAAAACAGTGCATTCTTTTTTATATACTTTTCCTTAAATAATATTAATGGAAGGACTGCTGAACCCATAGCAATCACACAAGACACCATTGTGACATTTTGTCCATGTTCATTTCATACAAGTTGTACTCGTTTGATACCGATGGTATAACAATATCGCCACTGGTATAGCGATATCACCACTGGCGATATTGCAACACACCTCGAATTATATTTTTGATTAATTTCTAGGGTCTGTCGCTTTCAATTTGGACTTTAGTAATGGAACAAATGTCTGGTATTTATATCGAGCTGTCTTTCCTTGACGCTACTCTGAATTTTGGCCAAAGCATAATCGTTTTTGCCATATTCGGTTTAAACACCAAAGAAATAGTGTTGCCGTTATTGAAGTACTGGAGAAAATTGTGGTACGGTGCTAATACCTTGACTCTACCGTCTTGGCACGAGCTCAGTGCCGAAACGAAACATATCTGTGATCAGTTTGTGACTCACCATCTACAGAGTTGCCGGCTGGCAATTGCAACAGATAAAAGGTCAGTTTTTATTTTAATATTGCAATTCGTAAATGGTAGTAGTTGGAGTGTTTTTTTTTCATCGATATTTACATTGCTATATTTTAAAAGAACTACAAATATTACGCTTCCTATGCTGCCTCATCTTAGGATGTCTTATATATAAAAACAAATGTCTCAAAAAAAAACTTAATAGCATTATGAAAAAAATAATAATATTTGCCTTATTGTCAAGCAAAAGACATTCAATACGGTTGTCATTGTTTGTCCAATAATAAAATATTGGAGAATATCAACTTGCTAAATAATTTTTTTTTGTAATTTGGTTTAAATTATGTATAAAGTTTTCAATAATATCTTTATGTAGCCATTTCCTCATCGAGGCAAGGTATCACCTGTTGGCAGCTGATTAAAGTCTCCTGTAAAGTATAATTTATAACCACCGTAACGTAACTTAACTTAACGCCGTAGAAACTTAACCTAAGATATAAAAATAAAGTCTATTTATAAATGTCCGTAACGTAAGAGTTGAGCATGCGTGTTGATTTCAGAGATTATCAAATTATTGACAACCTTATGAAATAAACAAGTGTAAACTATGTACTTAACCTCTAAATAAAACTTATAAATTATGATTTTGCTATATAGAAAGAATATATTTACTTTAAAAGCAATAATATAAAAATATAATAAAACAAAATAGTTTACCGAAGGTTGATTGTTTCTGAGCAATAATGAGAATTTAATCTTTCCTAGCAAAAAAGTTTTGTCTTATTTCAGTTCTAGACTTGATGTTTATAGGTATATGCAGCTACACTCATATCTCATAGATAGTTTATCCCCAATAACATAAACACAAATCATTCATGATAATGTATGTCCATCAAAAAGGAGAATGATAGTTTACAAATGGTATTTTTCTATTTATTTATAAAAAAAAATAAAAAGAGAATAATTGACAGTTATCACATGCTGAACGCAGAATTATCTCATTGGCTAACCGTAAGTCCTTAAGTTAAGTTATGTTGTTAAGTTAAAAGTTGGTGAACTTTCTACGGTACGTTAAGTTCTTAAGTTACGTTACGAACATTATAAATAAGTATACGTAAATTCAATATTTCAACTTCTTACGTTAAGTTCTTAAGTTACGTTACGGCGGTTATAAATTAAGCTTAAATAAAATAAAAACATTCCTTATAACTTTTGATAATCTTGTACTCACTTGAAAAAATTACAGCTAAAAAAACTAATAATACAATTTTTTATTTATTTGAAATAGTTCAAACACGGTTCTGGATTTTTTAGTTCTGGTTGTTTCAGTTTATTTGCTTCCTAAATATGCACCTTGTTCCTTATTTAACCGCTTAATCTTCTACGTTAAGATATCCTAATACGCTAAATTACCGATGACGTAATTTTGGTTCCACTGACAGTATTTTTTAAGTGCGTTTTCTTTACCTAAATTATATTGTTTTTGAACTTTTATAAATATATTTCTAGAGTAAGTAGATAACATCAATATATAATCATTTAGTAACTAATTACATACCTTTAAACTACTTTTTATGACCTACAAACGATATTAATAAAAAAATAAAAACAGTAAAATCGTATATGTCAAATAGTGTTGAACGTTTGTTTAGAATTAAATGTCAATGGAACCAAAATTATGTCACACTTTTATGGTGTATTAGACATTCCAACGATCTGTCAAACAATAGCTGCCGGTGGGAAGGGCTTGTATATCTAATGGGGGTTGTGACATAGCCTTCCATCTTGGTCGCTATTGTCAATTTATGAAAAATTTATAAACATTTTTTTTTAATAATATTTTTATTGTGTTCGACATAAAATATTTAAATTTTATCCATTCTTCATGATTTTACGTGTTGTAGATAGACTTAGGTATATCAACCCTTCCCACTACAACCATTTTGTTTGAAATACCTGGTATCCCTATGAAATAGTGATTATTTGTCAAAATCACTTGTTTCCCTAGTAACAGTAATGTATATTTTATACTTTGTCGTTTGTTTGTTTGTTGTTAATTGTTCTAGTCAGTGTGCATTGCTAAGTTAGATTTAACTCTATTAATAATATGATTGTGACAAAGATATACAGATATGGCCACAGTTTTACTGATCATAGGGAATAATACCTTTCCACTTCTATATTTCTCCATATATATGTCGTTCGCATTCGCTGAAAGCCGTAGTTGATGTTTGTAAACAAGTAGAGGTGCATGTGTATTGTGATGTGAAGCCGTCTCTGTACTTTGTTGACTCCTTGCCCGCGGTATAAAGTCTAGCGCTGGCCATATAGAGACAAAGGCACCGCTTCGAGAAGCTTCCGGAGTTATCGCTTTGCGACGTATGAGTCATAGAGAGGCAGTTTTCGATCGTTCTGGAGAGCCGAGATTGTTCTGGTACAGAGCTGGGCTTTATATAAATAGCGCGAGTTTGTCGACGGACGATAAGTTTCGAATTAAGTGTTGGACAAATTGTAATAAATAAATTAGAATTATGAGTTAGTGCCTAAGTATTATATAAATTAATTAGTACGTTATAAATAAATTGTAAATAAAGTGTTTTAAATAAATAAACTATAAATAAATTTAAAAAATGTTACAGTATTTTAAACGAGTATACAAGAGAAATGCGCCTAAAACATGGCCATATCTGTAATGTGTTTAATCGATTACATGTTGAATAATACAACATAGAACTCAAATTTTTATTTTAAGACATGTTTATACTTAATGAATCTCTTTTTAAGAAATTTGCTACTACTAATTAATTATATTTTTTTGTAGGTGGAGAATTAAGATCTATAAAAACGTTTTTTCCGGCGAGAGATTCGTAGATTGGCTTATAGAGGTCGGTCTTGCTAGAGATAGAGTAGAAGCTGTTAACTATGCTAGACATCTAGTCGAAGGAAAGGTTTTGAGACATATAAATGGCGTTTACCACTTTTATGACAGGAATTTGCTATATAATTTTGTTTAATATTGTTTCATTTAAAACAATAGGCCAGTGTCTTGCAATCGTATAACGTTATGATACAAAAGTGATATTACACTGATATTTTTAAAAAAATATATTTTTAATCCAATTTGTAGGTACATCGTGCATAAGGCGATTCAGAATTCTGAAGACAAACTCTTTTGATTAAATGATCAAAAATGAGGTAGTTGTAAAACGCTTGGTCATTGATTTATAGATCGTCAAAGAAAGGATAGTTTTTCTTACAGATTCAGTAAAAGGGAATATTGTTAAACGAAACTTTACCACCATAAATGAGCTTAAAATGGAGATAGAGTGTATTATTTTTCAATAGATTCTACCATTGCCGTTCTCGTACAGTTATTAGCTTACATTTTTCCTCTAAACTTTTAACCAAATGATTTATTGAAAATATATTTTTTAAATTTCTTGGTGTAAGAAATGAATCACATTTGGACTATGAAAGTGCCTAATTTTCGAGCCAAATTGTAGTTAAATTGCAACGTGTAACTATTTTAATCTTTTATTTTATAGTCGAAGGATATTAGTTTTTTATTTACAACTAAACAAAGAATTCAAAATTGTATTGACAATATTAAGTCAGTTTCATAGCAGGGTTAGTAAAATTTTAGCTTGGGGTACTTACCAATAATTATATTAATTATTGTACTGAATGTAATCTATTAAGTTTTTTCATTGTATTCTGAATAAACCTGCATAGTTATTGCTATTAACTAAACATGTTTCAGCGTATTTTTTACCAAGTCTGCTAAGCAGTATAACATTGGATAGGTACCATGTGCCATTTCTGACATATGTTTTTATGACATACGAGTAAAAAATCGCTGCACCATACAAATAATTTATTTATAATTACCATAATTAAAGGCATTGTATCAAAACGCTATACATGTTTTTGTTAGTTGACGCCGCCTATTTGTTTATAAAAAAATGAATAAGTTGTAAACAGAATAGTGACTGCACTTTTCCCACACGTCATTTGTTTATTTACGCAAACTTACTAAAATATGACTAGTGTGTATTTTAGAGCCACTTTACAGTTCGCATTACAAGAAAAATTGCCTCAATTCGTATTACACATCTGCACACATGCCCTTTCGATCAGCTGTTGCAATTGCAGAAACTATGCATGCACTGACAGTTTATTGCATCTTCAACTCTGAAGTGCGTTCCACAACCACAAATTTTCGCTCAAAACGTTCAAAACCCTCCAGTGAAGTTAACCGAGTGATTTATGAATCTCGTTCCGAAAACATTGGTTGATTTACTCTAGTCTACAATTTTTTACCTTACTCATTTAGATGACAGTTCTCTCAGACAATATATCGAAAAATTGGGTTTAAATAAATTACTATGCTAAATTAAAAAAAAAAGATAATTCGTTGACAATTATGAATAATTATAATTCTGTTACTTACGGTCTATTATACATGAATTGATATTACTTTTTATATTGTCTTTGTCTCAAATCATCAAATCATAAACATGACATCAAAAGTAACAAAAACTATTATAAAGTAACACTATTTCATATTTTAAATTGGTTTCTTAGGGTTGCATATCATATAAACAAAAATTGTAAAAATATTAGGTTTGAGTACAGCGACAGCGGGGAAAAAATAATACAATGACACATGAAGCAGGGGAATCCGTCATTTGTTTCAAAAGCCACACCTTAAATTGTCAATTTATTTTTTCACCCAAAAGGTACAAGTTTATGGAACAAGCACCTGGGGAAAATTATTGGAATGAGCCATGTCGATCAGTTTAAAAATCCCTAGATTTTCCATTTCTGGGATTCCTAGGGCCGGCTCTAGTGTTTTGTAGCAGTAGGCAAACCTCAAAAGTGTCGCCAAAATCCTATAAAATCATGAATTTTTAGAGATTTCCGAAATATGGGTACATTTTAACCATATACTTCTACACCACAGTTTTAACTTTATTCAATTCTGGGGAAATAATAGTGATGCAAATGGAGTCTGTTCAGTATTACCAATAGAGAAAAAATTCCAACCATTGGTATCAAAGTATTGCTAATTATACTGATTAAATTAAGTTGTAACTAATTGGGTCGATGACATAGATTAACATTATCTAAAATCTATGGAGTGTAGAGGTAAATAGAACTATCTCTATTTACAAAAAGCGTCCCTCAAAATGTATGAAATTAAGATGGCGTTACTGTATCAGAATGCTGTTTGAAAGCGCCGAAAGTTGTGAAAGTCGATATGCAGATCACACCAATAATATATATTTCTACAAACGTCAAAAAATAACAAGGTTCGCGCATTGACAACAATATGCGAAGTGACCCTTTTTTTCATTTTCCTTCGTTACCATGACACCGTGCGCGAAGTAGTGTGCGAAATACTTACTTCGTACACTGCATGTAAACTATATGGGATTTTTATATCTTAACCTTTATGTTCCTCAATCAAGCAAAAATCCAAGAAATCATTTATTTATTAATGTATAACAATAATTAAGGCTTTCAAATTGTGAGAAAATTTAACACTACCTAATTTTATTTATTATTTACAATGTTAACATTAATGGTGCAGCCAGTGCACGAACCAATATTTATTCCTAAACCAGATAACTTAGATTCAGCTCGTGATATCGTAGTTTTGGGAGTTGGAAGACTATCCATTTTTGATTTGCAAGCAACTGCCGTAGAGTTGACAGCACTTGATCCTGAAATTTCACAGTCTAAAATTTTATTTGATATTTGAATTTTATTGTTGATAGAATCTTCCACGTATCCTTCGGCCACAGTGGAAGATTTCCATCCTCCATGTCGCTTCAAAACACATATATCGGCCCCCGTATTAGCAAGGAGTGTGGCTGATGTTCTCCGAAAACAATGGCCCGTGTAGGCATCAGGATTTGGTAATTTTAGGTGTTTTGCTATTAAGCTAGGCATCTTTCCAATACTATTTATTCCAACAACTTGGTTAAAACATCTTTTATTTTGATACTTCAAAAACAATCGGCGACTGGTAGCAGAACTTGGACGAAGAGCCGCATATTTTCGGTAAATGTCAATATAATCTAAATTTGAAACTGTAAAAATTCGTTGTATATTCGTTTTTGTATCGGGTACTTTAACAATCAAAATGGAATTTTTATCTTCTATGTCATCGACCGTCATTTTAGTGAGTTCCTCACGGCGGCAAGCACCCGAAATACCCAGTATTAAAACAACCTAAAAGGAAATCAGTAATTTAAAAAACACATAAAACAATCATCAAAAATCTACCTTAACCAACAAATAGGTTTCATCATCTGCCTCTCTTATGAATTGTTCAACTTCCTCTCTAGTCAATACCTTAGATTTCTTAGGATGGTTTCCAACTGACAATTTTTTCAAATATGGAACCAACTTGGTAAATTTCTTAAAATCCACGTTTTCTTTAACATTGAGTGTTGCTTTCAACATAGAATATATTGCCCATAACGTGGAAGACTTCAGCTTCTTAAACTTCTCTGCAAAATATGCCAACAGCACATTTTCGGATATTTTTATGGCTTTATTTGCTTCACACCACTCTTTAAATTGCTGATATGCATTTTCATACTGGCGCCTCGATTTCTCCGGTAAAAGATTTGAAATTACTGAATTGGCCGCATCTGTCAAGTTAGGTGGGGTACTGCTTACTTCATCGTCGCTCAAAATTTCAATTATTTTACAGTTATAAATATCACGCACGAAATTGACGCGAATAAAAAGTAACTCCAAAATAATTATCAAGAACTGTCACTTTGAAATAATGCGCTAGTTCAGTGTGATGTCATTTTGGTTCCACTGACATTTAATTCTAACCAAATTTTTAACAAAAACGTCAATAAATTTGACATATACGTTTTTACTGTTTTTATTTCATTTCAAAATATTGTTTACAGGTCATAAAAAATAGTTTAAAGGTATGTAATTGGTAACTAAACGACTGTATATTTGATACATGCTATCTACTTACTTTAGGAATATATTTATAAAAGTGAAAGAAACGATATAATTTAGGTAAACAAAACGCACTCAAAAAATCTACGGTCACTTTAATTGTCCGGGGAACCATAATTACATCATCATTGAACCAGCGCATTGTCAACAAATGCCATTTTATTTCCATAGTTACAGTAATTAACTTGATTTGGAAAAACAGTTTAAGCCAGTTCAATACTATTTTTCATGTTACTTATTTTAGAATAATATTTTTGACGTTTGTAGAAAAAATTTTGTTTGCATCTCATGCGCGAAATACTTTGGTGATCTCGAGTATTTTTTTAACTCGGCTGCGCCTCGTTCTCGATCACCAAAGTAGCATTTGGCGCACTAGATACAAAAATAACTATTTTCTACACCCGTATTATAATAATGCAACTATATGCCCATAATTCGTTTCATAATGATACCCATTATGATACAGATTTTTCATTACGATACAGATTTTTAATCAATAGAAACCTACAATTTTTCAATCAAGCATGCTGTTTGACGTTTGTCCTAGGTTCCTATGTAATTGTTTTAGTTGTCAAAACGTATTAAATTTTCGTAGATAGCTAAACTTCGATAATTATATTATCAAAATGTCTGATATCTGCGATATAGAAGACTCCTCCACACATATCGGAAAAAGGAGAAAATGCAGTACAAAATATTTTGCCCCAAAAATCTATGGTAATACCAATAACCGAGGTAATGCCATTAATTACAATTTTGTAGAATTTTTTATAGAAATACGAGTAATTACTGTTATTTTGTTCAATACCAATATAAATATAATATTTATAGTTCTTGATTATTTATAGGGTGTAGAAAAAATAGCGTATGCAACTCTCATGTAATGGTTATTACATGATCGTTGCATAATATACTATTAAAAGTCAAATTTTTGGTGTTATTGAATTTGTTCCATTTCACATATCTTTTATTGTTCCATTTTTTAATTGAGAGGAAGCTTATAATTCAAAATAAATATAACCATATATGTTTATTAATAATTATAAAGCTATGACCAAAAATGTTTAGCTTCTGAACTTCTTTGTACCGAAGATAATTTTGTCACATTGGAATTTTTACAATGTGTTCTCATAATTGGTCCAATAAATTGTAGAATTTTTTTATTTTACGATTAATCATTTTTTCAATTCTCCAATTAATAAAATAACATAACTATCTTTATTATTTGAGAACCCCGCTTTTCGCCGTCCGATTTATATATGGATGAGCAATCTATGTAATTATATATCATTGGATGACACCCTTCTAGTACACCCTTCTTTCCACTTTCTAAAACCTTATTTACTGCTTTTTGGTGGACGCTTTTTGAGATAAACAACCATATGAAATTGTTCTCTTTTCTTCTACTCTCCATAGAAAGAATTATCAATAGTCAATTTAAAGCAAGTTACCAGTGAACTTAAAAGGACCAGTACGTACCATTACAGTTAAAGCAACTTTGGCCATTACTAGTTTATTAGAAGTGATGTTATAAACAAGCCCTTCGTTACGTCATACTAATAACCAGTAAGCTGCAATTCTGGGGGAAAATGGTGGAGATAATCGCTGTCAATCAGTTTAATCCTAGACTCTAGCGCATACATTTCTGGCATTTGACAGGTTTTGTGTTATGTTACTAATTCACTGTTTTATTTAATAATTAAATAGCAAGTTCTCCATAACTTTGTATATTGGCAAATCTGTTTCCATAACTAAATTGGTGTACCTGTTTAGTGACTTAAGTTGATTAACTTTTTGCAGTGAATTGCGAAGTGTAATACGGACAGTAATTTCTCTTTCAGCAAGGACACTTGCTAATTGTAAAAGTGCTGTTTGCATAATTTTTCTGTAATGACGTAGGTAAACTGCAATCGCTGTTTAGACCAGTGGCAAGTAAACAATTTGTTTTATTTTTCTAATAATTTGTATTTATTGGATTTTAAACTTTTCCTAAGGTTGTGTATCTTTAGTTTTTTAATATTTAAATGGGTAGCAGTGTTACCAAAGAAGTTAGTTACCAGTTATGACAAAATTACATTTTTGTAATAATCTAGAACTTCATCCGTAATTTAAGTAAATAAATATATAAAAATCTCCAAAGTTTTTTTGAATAAAATGCTAGATTTTTTATATATTATATAATTGGCAAGTTATATCTATTAAAAATAGGAATTAATGTTAATTTTACATAAATTACGTTTAGTTTAAGATTTAAAAATGTATTTTGTTGTTACAATTTTTTCTCAATTAATTGTGATAAAAACAAGTAATAT